GTTGGTTTATGCTCTGCAATAATTCTGGAATAATTGGACTGTCTTCAATGACAGTTTGAATTACTCATACTGGTGGTTGTGGGGGGGGGGTTCAATTCACTAATGCTAATTGGAACAAATGAAATAGTTATTATGGTCATACATTTTTAAGCCTGTGACATGACTATTTCAAACATTACATTTCTAACATTAAATTTCAACGCAATTAACACTTTTAAGATATAACAGACTTCTTTTTTGTTGTTAAATACAGAAGTTGCATACATTTAGCCATAACCCTGTACTGAGACTGTTAATTAGCAACAGGTTGTTGTTCTATTTTTAAAAGGCCAATCCCCTGAGATATATTTTAGAATAAGTTCATTATGAAAAGAAACAGACTTGCCGCAGAAATAAAATGAGTTTACACTGAGGAAAGAAAGGAAACAGCAATACCTCTCTACCCAATAATATTGGACACAGTTAACCTGATAACCTAATACTGAACACAGTTAACCTGATAATTATTTGATCACAATTTAACTAATACACACAATCCTTCCACTTTAGGATGTGTGTGAAATACTTTATCTGTCAAAAATAGGTGAACACATGGACCTTCAAATGTTGTAGAACTGCAACTCCCATCAACCCTAACCAGCACTGGCAAAGGGGACAGATTAAGGGAGTTGTAGTCCCAACAACATCTGGAGGGCCACACATTCCAGTTACCCATCCTTGATCGAAAGCAAGGCTATAACCCACCTACTGTTCCAATACTCCCAGTGTTGCTGCTCAAGGCTTCTATTACTTCATCACCCTGCCTCATTCACCAATGCTTTTTTTTAAATGATCTCTTCCAAAACATCACGTAGGGAATAAGGGAACAGGGCTTTTGACAATATTAATACTAGGCCCCTCTATCTGGAAGCATTCTATGTCCCCTAGTATGACCAAAACAAAAACCACACAGGCAACAGGATGGAGCTCTGTAAAATCCTACTGAATTCTGTAAAGTAAAATGGTTTTGTTCTGTAGCTTGGTTTGGGAGACAAGGGACGGCTTGCTGGTTGGTCTGAAGCAATGGCTTCTGTGATGGATAGGTCATGGGAAAAGGGGAACAATAAATAAGGGTAGAAAAGATTAGAACTGGATGGGGCTTTCTCTAGGATAAAATAAACAGAATGTCTAACCTATTTGATCCCCATTCAGAGAACAAATAATATTTTTAATGGGTGTAGTTCCCCTAGTCTATAACATATGAACCATAGTGACCAATCTCATTTTGACCATATAATTTATTATATCACTGTTATATTATTAAATTATATCATGATTTAATATGATTTAATCGAGTTATCATGATTATATTACTTTTATGTTTTACAGGAATATTTTGTAATGCCACCCAAATGCTTCATAACTATATAACCATATATAACACTCTATTCTTCAGTCATTCTACTAATTGAATAGTGTGTTTAAATTTTATATAAATTTATTGATAGTTTTAAGTTACTTTAAGTTATTTTTATTTTATTTATTAGAGTATTTCTATCCCTATTTTGATTTTGATTTTGCTCCTGTTTTTGAGTTTGATTCTGTTTGGATTTTGTTTTCATTTGTGAAATGTCATTGTTGGTTTTGTGCACATTCTTAATTATTGTTAATTGTTGGATTGTTTGTTTTGATTTTTGTAAGCTACCCTGAGATGCTTTTGCATATAGGGTGGGGTATAAATATTTTAAATAAATCAAATAAATAATATCCCATGCATTACGGTTCATCTCTGGATGGCTTACAATATAAAACACCTAATAAATACATCATCATAACACGCAACTGAGGATAAAAACATAATTAAAATATTTAATTTTATCAAATTAAATGTAGTTGTCCAAGTTGTACTATTTTTGTTTTTTATTAGTTTTGATTGTTCACCACCCAAAGAGTCTTCTTTACGACTATTGTCATGGTTTGTAAAGTAAAAACAAATGAACAACCCGTTTTTCAACCTGCTGCTATAGGTGGTGTTCTACCCTGAATGAACCACTGCCTCTAATTTCTTTTGTGTAGATGCATCAACAACTGGTCGACATTCAATGGGTCCTTGTGCAAAATGGGTCTTCGTGCTGAATCCGTCGTACAGCAGGACCCACTAAACTACCTGCTGGACACAGCCTGTCAGTGATTGTGCACGGAGTGGTCGTTCCGAGGTAGAACTTAGAGCTGACTTGCTCAGAAAAATCTTCGCCTGTCCTTATCCTCTAGCATTCTCAGTTGCAGAGGCCTGCCTTCCTTGCAGGCTGGAAGGCAGGCCTTGCATTGCCTTTTCATTGTTCTGATGTGATAGTGAGTTATCAATCACAAACAGTATCAAAAGCCCGGGTAACCTTTCTTTCACGCTTTCATAAACAAGACTGCTTACCACTTGGTTACCGAGTGGATCTGAAAGGTTTCCTATAGGTTTAATAACTACATGACAGATCCAAATTTAGTGCCAATGTATGGGGCACATATCAGGACCTAAACATATTCAGGAGACCCATGAAGGATCTCCCAAAGTTTTCATTTCTCTTACTAAAAAAGAGACACAGGTGGTTTTGACTTCAGTACGAGCAGTAACATTGAAGGAAGGGTGCTTTGCCCTTTCTCCCACACCAGTGCAGCCATCCATCCTGCTATTAGACCTGATAGGGAAAATACAGGCACAGTGCGTTTAGATAAAAACAAGAAAAATACTTAATCTATGCTCCTACTAATTTAACACAATTGGACGCTCAAAAGTAATGGGCATCAGAGTATTTGCTAGTTCATGGCCTGCAAGAAGCAGCCACAATTAGTGTGCATTTCTGCTCAGCCTTTTATGGAAGCCTTTTGTTTGGCGATGTATCCTTGACATTCCAGAGTCTCGAACATAGATGCAATATTTCATATACTGCCACCTGCTGCAAGCACACAAAACTACCCATTGAATGTAGAATGAAAGCTCATGGCAGCTAGCCTGTGCAATTCATCAAGTACTGATGGGCACATTTAAAGAGAAAAGAGTCCTACAACTCTCAGAATTCCTGGATGCGGAATGCTGGGATTCTAGGACATTTTTCTGTCTAAGTACGCATAGAAATAGCCCCTTGCTGTGCTTTATATGACCCCTACATTTCCTGCACACACTAGGAGATGGACAACTACACTTTCCTCCATCTACAAATCTCAAGCCATTTTCAACAGTAAAAAGTGCTTTCTCACCCAAAAGGGCCTCCCTCTTCCCCCCATCTACATATGTGGAAGGCTGGTGTGTGTGTGTGGGGGGGGGGGATTGGCAATTTAGAGTAATCCACAAAGAATCATGCCCTTTTGACAGAGAGCCCTTTTGATTGGTGGAGAGTATCATGAGCATTCCAAGACAACCTGGAAGCTAAGGTGTTGTGTCAGCCTGTTTTATAATTCTGTGTTGCCAAATTCAGCCTTGCCTCCAGGTGTTTTGGGCTTCAGTCCAGGCCAACCTGGCCCATGGTCAGAGAAGTCTGAAACATCTGAAGGACATCAGGCTGAGGAAACCTGGTAGACTTGATTGGTATGTTTGCTGATTTTTTTAGTGCTTACATAATATTTTCTTGTGGATCCTAACTGATGAAAAAATGGGGAGTGAAATACTTTAAGTTGAGTTCTTTAGGCTAATCTCTTTAGAGCACAATCTTTTTGGTTCCAAAGGCTACCTGTCTGTGAACGCAGATATGTACACAATCCAGTAATTCTGATACAGTGGTTCTTCTGCTGCTGCATCTTGGAAAATGGCCTGATCCTATGGCCTGGTTTGCACAAAGTTAGCATGTCTGATTACCTGTCCTATAGTTACACTATGGTTTGTTAACCAAGAACAACCCATGAAAAAAGCCCATGTTTTGTTTTTAGCTTGTGAGTTCTAGGATGTTCATGGTTAACCCAGTTAAACCACAGGGCATGATTTGCAAGCGACAATGTTCGATGATAATCTGTACTCAGGAGTGTCACTTCACCGTCCTGGGACTCAACGTGAAGGATGGTATAGAAAAGCTTTTTAATTAATAAATAAATACATAAATAATAAACTTGGTCTGTAAGGATCTATTGGGGAGAAAGGGAAAAGCAGAGACTTGGGGAAATTTTGCAGAGGGGGCAGGTCAGCAACGGAGAGCTGCAATAAAGGCTTTGGGAAAACATGCATAGGATGTATTTCCTATGCATTTCCACTATCATTTGTACTCTCTAATAACGAACTATGAGAAAGCTTGTAATAATTCAAAGTAAAAATAAAGATCACTTATAGGGCATCTCCCAGCTACGTGGCAGCAAAAAAAGCAGGGACTTTCACCCAGATGCGATGATAATGAATATCTTGGTTGTTAACTACAAGACCCTTGGTTGTTTTCCAAAACAGTGATCGGACTTGGCCACAGCTGCGGTCTTTCTCGCCTGGCCCAGAAGGAAGCCTCGTGCGGGCATCGCGAGCTTGCGCGTCGCGCTTTCGGGCCATCGCCGCCTCCGTCGTTCCCAGCGAGCTCCGGCTCCGCGGAAAAGACCGCCTCGCCCTCCGGGGCCCAAAGGCGGCTCCGCCCCCTCACGTGGTCGCTCCCGGAAGCGGCGCGCCCGAGCGCCTTGGAAGCGCTCCGAGCTCGGGCGTCCTTGGGCCAAGCGCGACCGCCAATGGAGTGCGTGCGGCGGTGGAGGCTGCGGCCCGGCGTGCTGTGCGCATTTGGCACGGGCGGTGGCTGCCGCCGCCTCCACCAGCAGCAGCGCCTGCTGCGGGGAGGGCGCCCCCGCCGCTTCCCGGACGCTGCAGCCGCTGCCGGTGCCGGCGCGCTCGGGAAATGTGGGCTGCAGAGACGGGGAGGGCCGAGCTGGCTGGGCGCAAGTAAGTCGTGCGCCGCTTGGGCCCCGCTGCGCTGCCCCAGCAGGGAGCCCCGCTGGCCTCCGCGGGACTCGCTCCCAAAGGAGTGTGCCGTCGCTCCTCACTGTGCGCGCCGCACCTTTTCAGCAATAGGTGCACTGGCTCGCATCGTGTGTGACGACCTTTTTGGGGTTGCACAGTGTTGGAAAACTTCTGCACTTCCCGTCCAGCCCAGAATTGGTTTTATGCTCTGTGCGCTTACTTAGAAGCATGACCTGGAGTTTACTCCTAAGTAACTGTAACTAGAAGCTGAACATGCTTTTCTTTGCCTTTCCTGAATGCTTAACGTAAGTGTTAAACTTGCCTTGGCCGTATGCAGCTGATTTATTCTGGCACTGATCCTAGGAAGATGTGCGACTCCTGTGCTGATGGAATGGGCTGGAGAACGTGGGGACTGCAGTTAGATGCTGCGACACGTGAAATACTTTCATAGATAGCAGTCCATGCATTTGGGAGGAGCCTAGAAGGCCATGGGGGGCAACCCCCTGCTCAGTGCAGGACTCAAGTCTCAAAAGTAAACTCCATTTAATTCAATGGGACACCTCAAGAGAACTGTGTATAGGATTGTAGCCTAAGTGCTGCAGCTTGCACCATCTCTGCCTTCAAACTGCCCTCTTAGAAAAGTTGCTGCTGGGATATCATCTGAGCTATTTCTACCATTGAATATTGTTCCTTAATGCTGAACTTTAGCTTAAATTTGAGAATACTTGTGTCCTCTAAGTGCTTTGATGTGCTGAGTTTTCAGATGTTCTCGTATAATAAAAAAAATTATTCCTAGATCTCCATAGTCCTTACACACACATTAAGGTTGTTGTTGGGGCCTTACACAGTTTTCTTCTTTTAATTGTACTTCCCTTTGTCTAATGTTCCTTTTTCTTAGTTTTAGCATAATCCCAGGGCATCCAGCTGTTGCTCCACTGATGGAAAGTTGTTGGTTGCCCCATCACAGGAAACCTGAGCAAATTGGGGAAAAAAGCCATAATTTGGAGAAGAGAGACAGTAATTTTTGCAAGTGTTTCCTGTCCCATCTTGCCCCCTTGAGGCAAATGCTAGAAATAGCCCATGCAGTTTATTTGCTCATGAAGAGCTATTCTGGCATCAAGACCTGAAAAATTGTTCATCAGTAGTGGACTTGCCAGTTATTAATTATGGCAAAAATAAATATATTAACTGAGGCTTTATGTGTTGCCCAGTATCACCATGGTTACTAAATAAACTTCCTAATTAGGTATGTCATATCTGCAAATAAACATTTACAATGATTACAACTTGTTTTATTGTGATTTAGGTAGTCTCTTTCGATGCCTGACTACAGAGGTGTCTCAAGCCACTTTAGCCAGTGTGGCCCCAGTGTTTTCTGTGGTAAGTCCTAATTCATCCTAAGTAAGAGGAGGAGTGTGGAAGCAGTGCCAGTTCCAGGTTTTGGAGGGTCCCTGGGCAACAAGACACCTGTAATAAACCTCCTCCTTACTGAATTGACTTTCGCATCACCATTGCCACCAGATCTTGTTGCTCTTTCTCTTTTTCTTCATTGTTACTGCTTGCTTGTTTCACAGACAAGTGAGCGAGCTGGTAGACAGCGAAAGCTGCTGCTCCTCACTCAGCACAGTGATCACTGAGGCAGGTCAATGAGCAGATTGCAGTGGTGAAGATGATGGATAACTGCAAGGGGTTCAGAGCCTCTGTTGCGGTGTGGGCCTTCAGGTGCCCAGTCTGGTCTGCCCTTGGTGCTGGCCTTGTATAGAAGGCTGGGAAAGAAGGAATGGGCGAGAGTTTGGTTAGGGATAAAGAGGAAGGAAAATGTCAAGCAGGGACTTTGGGGGAGAAAAGAGAAAAAGAGAGAGGAGAACGTATGGTTGTTATTATTTATGTATTGAAGGAAAATGCTGAGAAGGGACTTCGGGGGAGAAAAGAAGAGAGAGAGGAGAATGAATGTTTGTTGCTATTTATGTATCTTATATGTAGTTATTTATTTTTCAATATTGCCCTTCATCCCAAAAGTGTATTCCAGAACAGTGCAGAAAGACAATATAGCAATAAAATAAAATCATCAGTCCATAAAAATAAAAATGGGAGAGATGAAACAATTTATCCTTTATCTTCTGCAAACAAGACCTCTGGAGAGATGAGGGAAGGTGAACATAAAGGAACGAGCTTAATAGACTGGGAATGCAAACCCAACCACTTACTAGGGTGTAAGCCTTGTGGAATATAGTGGGACTTGCTTCTGAAGAAGCACATAAAAGATTGCACTGAAAGGACTATTACAAATACGGCAATTTGACTGTCAACAGTTCTGTTGCCTCATGCCCAACAGTGGTTTAGGGTTGGGTTATTTGTACATTTTAGTGTTGTTTTCAAAACTGTTCTACTTGTTAGTTTGTTGTGTTAGCTGGTTTTAGTTCATAAAACAAATATTAATGGTATCTGCCTCTTCTTACCCATAGATGAGAAGAATATCTTCTCTTACATGTATTCAGTTGTGGGTTTCAGAAGTAATGTTTTCAATCATAATTCTTCCATCTTGGAACAACTTCAACAGTTTTGAGCATTTAGGAATTAATTTGTGCCATGGAGAGAAAACTATATTTTGAGATACTATAATAAAGGTGTTTATTGAAATTGATATTTAATTCCATGGTGCCAAAATCCTACCTCTAAATAGTACAGAATACTGAATAATGTAACTAAACACATTCTTCAGTTGTTTTAAGAATGACCTATTGTGTAAAAGCACATCCAATAGCAATACCATCTTTCTCTTCTTCCTTTTAGATGAAATTCGATAAAGATGGCAGAGTAAGCTCTTACGGTAGGTAGAACTATTACTGCTTTTGAACTCAATAAAATGTCTTATGGACATGGTAGTGCCTTAATACTGATGCTATAGCACCATAGCTTAGCATTCATTGCTGGATGCTGATCTACAAATAATAAATGAAATTATTTATTTCCAACTTTTCTGTTTTATGTTTCTACCCCATTTCAAGGCTGCATACAGGAGTCCTTGATAGTCTCCTATCAAGGGGTTGTCAAGACCCAAACCTGCTTACCTTCAGCAAGGCATTTGCCTCATTTATCCTCAGACTGTGACCCATGCTTTTTTCTAGGTTTTATGCTGGTTGGAGTGATGACGGAGTATCTGTGTGCTTATCCAATACAGTCTCTGTTCTGTTCACATCATTTTAAAACCTCTTTTTGGCAGAAAGAAAGAAAACAGAATTGTACCAAGAATTAAGCCTCCAAGCACGAGATCTACGATTTCAGCATCAAGTAAGCATATCGCCCAGGAGCAACAGGATTATCATAAGAATGGAGGTGAGTGAGAGTCCGTGTTTCATGTATGAGATGATTACATATGATGGTAACGTATGAAGCAGCGCTAGCACTGTTTTGACAGAGGGAGTTGTGGAAGCTTGGAAGCATTTGAATTGCAGAAATCTGTTACCAGAGAATGTGTTTATTTGTAATATTATTTGTTTTGTGAGATCCAATCTGACATATTCTTCAAGGATGGCTGAGTGCAGGCAGAAAACCTTTTATACTGCAAAAAATTATGGATATTTTTCTGCGTTTCCATTTGTAAAAAATTGTTTCATAAATCAATACTATGCTGTTCACTTTTATAGAGAAATAAGTCCCCTGGGAGTAAGTGTTATTGAATTCAGTTGGGTTTATTTCTAGTAGACATGTATAGGATTGTATTTTCTGTGTCTAATAACCCATGTTTTAACCTAGTCATTTTAGAAGTTTTAGAAAGTATTTAGGTCTTCCAGGGCAGGGATGGGGGTGTTCCACAGAACTTGTGTCACAACTGAGAAAGTTCTACAGTAGCAAACACTCATGGAACTAGCTGACTTCATTTTCTGCTTCTAGTTTTTGAAGGCTGTGGTAACGCCAGAGTATCTCCTAATCCTGGACTATCGTAATATAAACCTGGAAAATTGGCTGATCCAAGAACTGGCACCTCAGCTAGCTGGAGAAGGTCAACTCGTTACATGTTCTTTACCATTTGAATTCAGAGCTATTGAAGCAATACTCCAGTACTGGGTAAGCACTGTCACTATGACGAAAGAATAGCAGTTCGTTAGGCTCATATGCTGAGAACAACAGGTAGAAACTAAAATTGTGGTTAAGTAAATGGAAGCAATTTTATTAAAACAAAATCATAATCCAGTTGAATGAATGCAAGCATCTGCTTTTAGGTTCCTGATCCCACCCACTTACGCAGGGAATAACTTAAGAGAAGGAGTAGCCTTGCCATGTTGTTCTTGAGAATCAAAAGTGGGGCCTAAGCAGGCAAATGTTAGGTTTGCAGGAGCTAATTTTTTTACACTAGAATCTCCATTTCCAGGAACTAAATAATGGCTCAGAAGGTAGACCTAGAATTTGGGAACCAAGTTCCCTTGAGTACATCTTCAGTACAGGAGTTTGTTTTTAGTACCAGGACTGGATTTTATGCTTATTTATTATTCTTTTCTCTGAGGTCTTGATCTCAGCAGCTAAACTTAGGAAAATAAAGAGCACTTTGTTATCATTATTGTTAAACCACCCAGAGATCTTGCAGTAAATCCTGATCTAGTCTGTCTGCCCTGAATCTAAGCTTTCTAAAGTTAAGGCAAGTTTCTTGGCCATGAAACTTTAAGGGCTTTTGTGTACCTTCCAGTTTGTGCAGGGTAATTTCACAAAGAAGGCATAGAGGCTTATTACCTTATTTCCTGAGTAAGACGGTGTGTCTGGGTTGATTTCCTGCCACTTGCTATTTTAGAACACATTGCCATTGTCTTTGTGGCCAGGGGCAAGTGAGGGACCAGACACATTCAGCCTTACACTGCTCCTTTTACGATACAAAAAGGGGAATAATACTCAGATTCTGAAGTGTAATGTGTTGATACTGACATAAATATTTCCCTGTGTCCCCAAGTGGCCATTTCAAGATGTAAGCTTTTAAAATTGGAATGAATATTTTACCTACTATCTCAGACATTTGACCAAATAGCATATTAGGCTGCATTTTTCCAACTTGCTTACTTAATGGGATTATAATTGTTTTAGGTATTGGGTCTCTATAGCTTGGCTGCATTTTGTTGTGTTTTGTATGCATGCTTAGAATTTGATATTTCTTATGATCTGTGGTTATCACAGCAAGTGTACTGTTACTACATCAGAACACCAAGTATCACAAGCAGAAGGAATGAAACTGGAGATGGAAATCTCTGCAGGAAAGGTGGGCAAAAGGGGCTGAGTCTGATTTGCCCAGCAAAACCAAAAAGAATTATGATCCTTCAGTTACTGCATTCTAGAAACTTACATGTTTCTGAAGCATGCAGCTCATATAACTGTGGACTTAAGAAAGCAAAGTGAATGTACATATGTAAACTGGCTGTGAAAAGACTCCCTTCTCTTTACACCTAACAACAGCCCAGTGGGGTGCTTTATACTCTGGCAGATTTTAAAGAACGAGGGGGAGTTCTCACTTCCTCCTTGCTGGATAATTGGGGCCCTGGGCTGCCACCAGTCTGGTCTTTGACAAAATCTGCAACTGCCACAAATCAACTGTCCACATCACTCCGGAAACCAAACTTCCCCCATCAGAGATGAGACCAGTTAATTTTATTAAATAGCAGAAGCAGAAATACATGTCCAGACTGTCCTTCACCATGGGTTCTTTAATTAAGCTGATATTTATATAGGATGTATGCACACCTGGATTATTTTGCTGGGGAATACTTACCTGCTTTAAGAATTTCAGGAGCATAGGACTGTTGCTTGTTTGTTCAGCAAGCAGGTTCAGTGACCCGAGGCATTCTAAACAGATTGTTTCAATTCTTATGAAGGATCATGTTGTTATCTAGATCAGCTACCTACATGGGAGACTTAATAACCTGCAGCCTCAGATTCTTGAGACACTGAATGCTTTAGTGGACCCTAAGCTTTTGTCTGTGGATAGGAGCAAAGTCCATATCTTACTGCAGAATGGAAAGAGGTAAGAAAACCTACCTTCCCCTATTCAAATTACCTAGTTCTAATTTCTTATGAGTCCTGAGCTATGTAGCAGTTGGAGTTTGAGCCACAGTCCCCTGTATAAAGTGAGGACCTGGGATGTAGGTGCTGTAGGTTCAAGTCCCAAATCCTAAATGGGCTTGCTCAACCTAGTTCCTCCACTTGTACAAGGGAAGCGATAATCTCCTTTCTGCTGCAGCTACAGTTTGGCACAGCAACCCACTAGAAATCACGCCTCCGTGTGATGGCTCAGGAGGTGAGAGAGACAACCTAAGGTAAAGCAAAAGCCGAAGTAGTCTGCCCTAAGTCCTTTGTGCAGTAGAACTATCATCACCTTTAGTACTTAATTGAAATATTCTCCTGCTGCTTTTCCATTGTGCAACTTCCATCAACAGTCATAAGACAATCAATAAGAACACTAAACAGCTAATACAATTACATGAAATAGATTCTTGTATATTGCCTTTCTTTCAGTTGTTATATTACTTGTAATCATTTATTGTTTACAAAATGCATATTTTCAAACAACTCATTCATAAAACAAAGAAAAAAGCAGTCTGCGGCATAAAGCATATATATTAAATTGCAGAAGATCAACAGCCGTTAAAAGCTGAGCTGTAGAAAACAATTGTAGCCTGATAGCTCAGTGATGCTAGCGTGGGTGCTTCCATAAGCGAGAGGCCTTTTCTGAAAAGGTCATCTCTCTGGTCTTCACTGGTATCACCTCTTGCAGATCTTTATGATTAGGCAGCTTCATATGGGAAGCAGTGTTCCTGCAAACAGCAGTGACCCCAGCCATCTAGAACCTTAATATCTAGAATCAGCATCGTTAAGTACACTTGGATAGTCATTTCTTATTTTTGTTAGAATACAGGACACCTGAAAAACTTCATGGGCACTTAGGCATCCTTCCCAGGTATTGGAGGCCCCCTGTTGTTCAGCTGGGGAAAGGTGTCAAGACTGACTACACACATTCCCTGCTTTTTGACAGAGCAAGCAGTCTAACAAAGCAAGTTAAAACGTACAAACAAGTCTCTAACGAAATCAGATGTTAAATGGTTTTGTTTTGTTGTGGTGGTGGTTGTTCCTTCTCTGCTTTTCTTAGTTTGTCAGAATTGGAAACAGATCTTAAAGTTTTCAAAGAGACGATATTGGAAATCCTAGATGAGGAAGAAGTAATAGAAGAGCTGTGTCTAACTAAATGGACAGACCCACAAGTATTGTAAGTCTGTGTTGGTATGCTTGCATTGGGAAAATTCAGGAAACTCATACTTAACTGTCCAAATTTCACAATTATGGGGGTGGAAGCAGCATTGTCTACATTTGTGTATTTTGTTGAATATGTATTACACACTTAAATTTAGCTAGCAGTTACTGCATAGACAATATTGTGCAGCAAATAATATGAATCACACTGAGCTACACCTGTAACAAGTTCGTTAAGAGCCTGCTAGACTTTTCATAGTAGACGTGTGTAGCCTGTTGACATGGCACCACAGGCCACTGTGATTTCATTTACTGCAAGTGCCCAGTTTGCTGCGACCCATCATGGTATACGAACCCTGGTGGATGGGTCGTTCCTTACAGTTCAAGCCATGCTTAGACAAGGGAAATGAAGGTGCTAAATGGAGCTCATATATGAATTGAAGATGGATATGTAGGGCTCAGTTTCTTTTTATAGTAAATGTTCAACTGGAGAAGGGAAAGGTCCTGGAAAAGAGTTTCGCAGGTTTTATCTAACCATCAGATCAAAGGTTCTCCATCCATAGTTCTTCTATAAACGCATGCACGCACATACACACGTTTAATTTGCTGTGTTTGTCATGCAGGTGCCAAAGATATTAAGTGGGGAATTGAGATTCTGCTTGAGAACAACACATCTTGTAAGTTTTCAGTTTGCTGGCATTTTAACTTAAGTTGTTGATGTTCACAGTGAGGAGAGTCTCGGTGGAATTGACCATGCAGAGGAGATGGAGCTACTGCTAGAGAATTACTACAGGCAAGCAGAAGACCTTATCAATGAAACTCGTGAACTTCGACTATTGATTGATGATTCTGAAAGCATCATCTTTATCAACTTAGACAGGTTAGCTATATTTTACATACCATTTTCTAAAATGTAAGACAAGACTTGTGGAAACACTTGAAACTTGGTTCAGTATCATTTTTGTTTATGAAGCTCCATTCAGTTGGAATGAATTACATTTTATTCCTGTAAACAGTTTCAGGGTTTTGTCAGTTCTATTCTATGTTATCCAGACATTCCATTATCAAATCCAAGTGCCCATGCACTTCAGCCAGAATAGCTTTGCAAATATCATTGAGAGTCATTTGAGTGGCTTCTAACTTTCTAGGTTGGAGCTTGATGAACTAAAGATTTGTGAGCCGCCCCGAGGCTTTGGCGAATGGGGTGGCATAGAAATTTTCTAAACAAACAAACAAATAAATAAATAATGTTCTGGGGGAAAGCACAAATCCATCTGCTTCTGAATTGCTAATGCTCGGTCACCAGTTAAAGCAATTGGTTTTAAATGTCAATTAAGTGCAAGTCATGATAACTGTATATACAAATGTAGTGTGCAGATTCTTTTTCTTCTCCAGAGGGAAGTTATTTCAGAGAGAGCACTGTTTCAAGAAGCCAGAAAGCAATTTTAATTGAAGAGCTGTGTATCAAAAGTGCCATAATGCTCCTGTTTTACACTGCACAGCTATTTCTGACCCTCTACTCCTTTTGTAAGTATTGCTGCAAGGTAACAGTAAATCAGTTTGAGACATACACATTTTAGAAGCTGAGTGCAGTTCTCTTGTTAAATCTATACAGTTTTACTGTTACTCTGTCCATACTTATTAAAGGAATCCAGTGGCAGAGGGATGGTGACATTGCAAAGCAGATTTTTTTTATCCAGATACAACAAACAGTGTCAGAACAAAAGCAGTTATCCCTTTTGGTTTGAAAAGCAGATGTTTCTGTGCATCCTACTTTGGCAATAACCTGGTTCATAAGATACGGCAGCCCACCATGGCTTCAGCTACCTGCAGGGACTACACACTGGGTGCCCAGCTTCTCTGGCTTGTGGTGCAGAAACCAAGGCGACAGGGATTGTTTGATGGCTAGTCAGCTCTCAGATAACCATTAAAACAAGCCATGTGTTGGCTCCCTCAAAATGCACATCGTTAAATAGCTTTAGTAAAGCAAGCTGTATTAATTCATCTAGATTAAGGATAACCTGGTCTTACAATTTTGCTTATAGAACTTTGATTCCATCAATAGAAACTAGGTCATTGCATAGCTCCTCATAATTGTTTCCTGTTTGTGGCATTTCCCTACTATCTAATTCCGTTTTGTGTGACATAAATCCAGTTGCTGGAACAAGCCTGCCCAAATTGTGTATAGGTTGGACAATGTACCTCTCTTGGAAGGCAGTTCACGCAGAAAGGCTTTTGTTTTCTGTCTATCAGTGCCCCCTCCAACAGAAAAATTTTGCACTGCTTCTTCGTCCTTTTGATCCAGATTGTTTCCAGTTAAAAAAATTCTTTAAGACCACTGATAAATTTATGCCAAAATCCTGTTCTAATCCTGTTCTAATTTCTAACCATATCTGTGAGTTTTCTATAAGAAGCGGGTGGGTGCTTTCCAAAGATGGTCAGATCTGTGAAACAGATAATCACTTCGACAACTAATCACTTTAAATATTTCTCTTCTTTAGCCACCGTAATGTGATGATGAGACTGAACTTGCAGCTTACTATGGGCACCTTTTCACTGTCACTCTTTGGATTGATAGGAGTAGCTTTTGGCATGAATTTAGAATCATCATTTGAAGAGGTGAGGCGCAGTTCTGGAACGGGCTTGTTACACCTAATAACAGCAAACACATCTGTGTGCGTGAATCGCATCAGTTGTAGTATTCAGTCTAGATGTGTGACTTCTCAACTACAGCTGTATAAAAGCATAAAAAGAATGAGGTGTCCTGCTTGTAGTACTATGATATATCCAGATATCCATGTTTTCAGAGTTACAAACTATAAGCTTTTAAAATAGTGCCTCGTGGTTGTGAGAGCAGCTCTGTGAAATCCTTGGTGCAAGTCTTCTTGCAGCAAAAGCCATTTCAATTTTAGAGAGGAGCATTCTTGGTTAAATCCATGCTAGGGTCAACGACTATGATTGGAAAATGTACCTGGAGTCTAACATATTTTACTGTGGTCTATGAGGCTGAGTGTGTTTCTGAAGATGGTCTGAATTGTTAATTATGTTTCCGCACCTGGCCAGGACCGTAGAATATTTTGGCTGGTGACAGGAATTATGTTTCTGGGCAGTGGCCTGATTTGGCGGCGTCTACTTTCATTCCTTGGACGTCAGCTAGAACCTTCAACCCCTCCACCAGTGAGTATGGCCTGGCTACATTTAAGAAGGAGCTCCCCCTTTCTCCTTTTCCTTCCTGCTTTTCAGACTCTTTCCTGGGCATGTATGTATGGAACAGCCTGAGGCTGACAATAAAGGAAGTGGGTGTAGCGCTTGGTTCATGTTAAAACATTGCCTGCTTTAAATATATGCCAGCTTCAAAGCTGCATCACCTTTAAAACCCCCTTTTCTTGCTGCTGGCCCAGGATGGCAACACACTTTGCTGTTAATCACATAAACGTTTTGCCAGGTGACAAATCCATGTCATTTCTATGTTAAATCCAAGCCTGAAGGACCAGTGGCAATAGCTCTGGGAAGGCCAATCCAATGCTAAGCTTCTTTGAGTTGACATCAGTACTTTGGTTGTCATCAAATATATCACTTAAGGACTGAGGAAAGGAAGTTGGCCTGCCTTAGTGAAAGGGTGTGGAGTCCTTACCCCTCAGTATCTACTGAGTTGGGAGGCTGTGTCCATATGGATGCCTTGCAGTCTCCTCACCATTAAACGGTTTGGTTTGGTTTGGTTTGGTTTGGTTTGGATTTTGCTTCTGTTTTTTTCTGGAGTGTCTATGATTCTTACCAGGTTCTTCTTTAACCCATACCCTGCTTAAGGCTTAGCTTAAATTCTGATTGATGTTTGGATTCCTGAACTGTGTTGGCTGGCTGACCTCAAATTAAGACTTCCTAAATGACTGGAAGCCAGTTACTAATGATGGCATTCTCTTATTTGCAGTGAGACTAGTGAGTGCAGCCATATGACCTAGCTGCTGCTATATCATAAAATTCAGTATATCTCCCTTTCAAATGGGCATTGGGCAGCATGCCTTCTCATATTGCCTTCCCTCCTGATAGCAGACACCGTTCTCAGAATATAATGAGTCAGCAGGGGTCCCTGCTATACTCATGCTGGGCTTTCTGTTAAGAGATGTCCCAATTTAACAATTAAAGCCTTGAATTTCTTTCTCAGAAATTTTAGTCTGGCCGAGATAGAACGGAACCCTGCTGGTAGACACCAGCAATGTCCATCTTAATGGAAGTTGCGGGTGGCTTAAATATAAGTAAAAATATAAGGAATTAACCAGCTCATTCTGCTCAATGCAGCAGCCCAGCCTTCCCCATTCTGGTACCTTCCAGGTGCATGTTCCCTACCCAACCAGGAATTGTCACCTAGCACTTTTTCAGGACAAATAAACACAACCAGTGGTTCCTTGCTAGATTTAAGTTCTTTTGTGTTGACCCAACTTTATGCTATTGTTTTTCCCCCTTAGATTCCTGCCTTATTGAAAAGAACACAGCCAGCAAGTGGGAAAGTGGAATTTAAAAATGATTTCAAAACAGAACCCCCGGGGTCAAGCAGAAGTCCAGTGACTAACCATTGATCAGGCCTCTACTGTTTTTTCCTACAAGACTGAACTTTTGACTGTCACCTTGCATTTCTAATAAAAAGGTAGCGGTCTTTATCATTTGATTTTAAAATATGCCAAAGATGTGCACCTTGGAACCACCAAAATCTGCATGTTTGGAGAAGAATGCCCAGCAAAATTTTGCACACTACAGCAGAAAATCTCAAACATTCATGAGCCATGCAGTCTACGTTAAAATTCTTCTCTCATCTGGTGCCTTCTGTGAAAGTTCTGCTTTGGTTTAACCCTTACAAATGCAAGAAACCTTGTGGCTCTCCTTCATGGAATGTGAAGTCTAGTTTAGGAGTATTGTTTCATGGGCATCGTTTCATATAGGAAAAATGATCCCTAAACCATGTGCTTCCCTCACTTAGAAATAGATAGTCTTATCCTTCACAGCAAACTCTCTCTGGAAAATTGAACAGCTTATTTGAATGCTAACAAAAGAAGCATAAGCAGCACTCTGAATTATTAGCACATTCTTCCTTTGTCACTTTTGAAGTCTGCATTTTATTTCAAAGTGGTAATGTCTGCTGGGATTTAACTTGTTGAGGGGAATAGAGGTTAAAAATACTAATCTGCTGATCTATTTATTGCAGCCAGGTAAATGAAGCTGTTCCTTATACAGTGGTACCTTGGTTCACAAACTTGATCAGTTCCACGATTCTGCTCATAAGGTTCAATGTAAATAAGGTTAATCCATTCTGACCCCTGTGAATGTGGTCGCAAACCACTTTTGGTCATGAACTGAATCAAATTTTCCAGTGAGGTTCAGTGTAAACAAGGTTAATCCGTTCTGTAAATATTTTTTTAAATCACAAAAATGTGAAACAAAAGTACAGTACAGTAGAGAACACTAACCTAGGTGGTGGTGGGGGTTATTGTTTGGAGGAAGAGTCCCCCTCCATAAGGACATTGGGGAGATCTCTTTCAGGGGTTTCCTCTCTCTCCTAGTTGCAGGGTCAATTTTGGCGAAAAATCTGTCTAATGTTAATTGTTTTTTCCTGCGCTGCATAACCCTCTGGAAATGGGAGACCACGTTATCATTCATCGGATTCAACACTCTGTCTGTTAGTTATGTTGGGGCGCTGCTTCTCAAAGAAATCCTGACACTCATTCCATTTTTCCATAATGGATTGTATCACATCACTGCTAAACTTCTTCCTCTTCCTCAGTGGAATGCTCCTCAGCAAGTGCCTTCTGCTGCTCACTCTGGAGTTCAGCAAGTTCTTCTGTCGTCAGCTCTTCCTTACGGTCCTCAACAAGCTCCTCTATGTCTGCACCACTGATGTCCAGACCCATATTCTTGCCCATGGACACAATCTCCTCCACTACCTGTGCATCAGACCCTTCAAAGTCACATTCAGTGACACATTCTGGCCAGTTTCCTCCAGGCTGAGTTTAAGGTCAAGGTCAAGAATGTCTCTTCAGTGACATTAAAACACCAGCTGAAGAGCGCCTTTGTGTAGAGCTTCTTGAAGTTGCAGATCACTTGCTGGTCCATGGGCTGCAGAAGAGGTGTCATGTTGGGGGGGGGGGGAGGAACTTGACCTTTATGAAGTCGTACTCAGCATCCATATCATCCACCAAGGCTGGAGTGTGTGCCGGGGCATTGTCCATCAGAAGGCGGCACCTTTCAGGCAGTTGGTTGTCAAAAAGATATTTCTTAATGGTGGGTGTGAACACCTCATGCAGCCACTCCATGAACAATTGTCTTGTGACCCAAGCCTTCGCATTGGCCCTCCACACGACAGGCAGTCTGGCCTTGTTCACATTCTGTTCCTTGAATGCACGAGGGGTCTGGGAATGGTACACCAGTAGTGGCTTAATCTTCAGATCGGCACTTGCATTCGCACACAGCAGAAGGGTCAGTCTGTCCTTCATGTCCTTGTGTCCTTGTGTCCCAGCAGTGCCTTTTCCTCCTGCGTGATGTAGGTTCTGTTTGGCATCTTCCAGAAGAGCCCCGTTTCATCGCAGTTGAACACTTGTTGAGCAATGTTTGCCTTCATGAATTCCATGAATTCTTTCCTGAAGGCTTCTGCAGCAGCTTTGTCAGAACTGGAAGCCTCACCATGTCTTACCGCACTGTGGATGCCACTTCTTTTGCAGAATTTATCAAACAACCTTCTACTGGCTTTAAATTCAACACTTGCTGCACTTGTAGAGGGTTTTTGGGTTTTTTTGCAGTAAATCACTGCAATTTCCTGGCTTTTTCACAGATAGCGTCACTAACACTATCACCTGCCAGCTGTTTCTCATTCAACCACACTAACAAAAGTTTTTCCACCTCTTCCAGCACTTGAGTCCTCTGCTTGCTAAACAGTGTTACTCCTTTTGCCGCATCAGCTCCTTTGATGGCATCTTTACTCTTTAAAATAGTCGAGATTGTCAACTTTGCCATCTTGTACTCAGAGGCCAGATCAGTCACATGAATACCATGCTCATGCTTTTCTACAATTTCCTCCTTCAATTCACTGGTTATTTTCTTCAAGACCTTCTTGCTCTGCACATTCTGGTCACCTTCATTACCGCTCTGCACATTCTTTTTACCACTGCTTGCTTTGTCCTTTCTTTGGAGCCATTATTCAATAAGCTTCACAGCAAGTGACCACAGGGAAGCGGGGAAGATGGCCACGATCGTGCTCATGCAGGGAAGATGATCGCGTTCATGCGGGGAAGATGGCCGCAATTGCGATTGTGCAGGAACATGGCTGCAATCGTGGTCGTCACCCGATGCGGAGTTCACAGAGGCAAAATTTTGCCAAAATTTCTGTTTGCAACCCGATTTGTTCGTGAACTGAGGCATTCGTGAACCGAGGTACCACTGTATATGTAAGCTAGTATTCTGTAGGCTTACTTTTGGTGGATGATTATGCTTTTAAGTCGAAGAGTGCTTTTTAACAATTTTACTGTATTTGTCATTCTCAAGCAGCTAAAATCCAGAAAGAAAATATCTCCCTTAACCCTACCCCATCACCCAAACCAGCTAAGAAAGCACAGATGCCTTGAACAAGTCATTGGTGCTGTATGTGCAGAAGTTTCTCCTTGCAGGATGCAAATCTGTGTGCTGAAGCTATCAAGAGGTCAGGAAGGTAGTTATCTAGTCTGCTCCAACAGTTGGGGCTGTATGTGTTGATACCCATTAAAATATTAAAATTATATTAATCTGCAATAGTAGAGGATTGCATTCAGCCAACACTCTTTGAATGGATCTTAGCCATTTTTTTTTTGTGGTGGGGTGCCACAAAAGAACTAATTTTTAACTTCCACTGGAGACAAAATAGGAAGGGAAAATCTTTCATCCATGTAGAGCTGGCCATCCTGTAACCTAGCATGCCATTTCGAGCCATGGCCGATGTGGTGGACTGGTTAAGAGATCTGGGTTCAGCCATGTCGTACTCAAACTGTGTGGCTTTGGACCAATGATGTACTCTCAGCCCAACCTATGTCACCGAGTTGTTGTGAGAATAAGCTTGTGAGGAGGAAAATTACGTAAGCTGCCTTGAGTTCCTTAAAAGGAAAAAAGGCATGATATAAATATAATACCATTTTAAAAGTTTAAAATGATAGGAAAATGCTACTCAAATTTGGAATGCCAACTTTTATTATTTGCATTAAGGATGGGATGAGATAATGTTTCAGACATTGCTTTGGAATTAGTACATTTACCTAAATGATGCAGAACAGCTGAAAAACTTGACATATGGAAGAAGCAGATTGTAATTGAAATGGAACATAGAAAACTTATTACACAAGATCAGAGTATGTTTACTTAGCCCAGTACTATCTATAATGACTGACAGCATCTTTCCAGGGCTTCCAGCATTTGACTTGATCCTCTTAGCTAAAGATGCCAGGAATTAGACCAAGGGTATTTCACATGCACATTTCTACCACAGAGCTCTGGAACTGTTCACATAGCTGCAGAAACTCAGACATTGTCAAAGTAGCTAATAATAAGACAACTTCTAAATCTTTCCTAATTTAACAATTAATATGTACTTTTGTGCCAGTCCACATATTAAGTGTGCTAAACATTTTAATACAGATAATGTCCTTGTTACTGGAGGATGGATGATAGAACAGAAAATTCCTGTCGACTGAGAAACAGTAGCATCTACTGCTTGTTCAGCTATAAGGAAAACATGTTCAGAACTTTTCAGCACCACCACAATGCTCAGGTGGCCATGATACTTGAGGCCTAATGCATGCCGTTATGATTGAGTGAAAAACAGTATCCAAATAAAGCTGGGACAGATTTCAGGCAGATGTAATTGAGGCTATTCTAACTGGAAATGAAACCTCAAGCATTGCTTGAAAGATTGGTTGTGTTCAAACTGTGGCCAAACTCACAGCAGCAAGGTTAGGGGAGGCAATGTGAGACATCTCTATTTCTTGTATAACTGCATTTTCGGGATTCATTTGGGCTTTTTTCTCCCATGTTCTAAACTGCGATAAATGCCTTAAAGTAAGACACTGTATGTGATAGGAATTTTCAGCTGAAACTGCTTATGGTCAGAAGTTACAAAAGAATTTTTTACAAGCATTTTCATTTGTTATTTAAGGATGCACATTTAAACAGTGATGCTAATTTTACTGGTGGATCTCTGCACTCAATCGTTAAAAAGTTTTCACATGTTAATCCAAGAGAAGATACATTAGCTTTACATTTCCAAAGTGAACCTTTGAAAAGAGACAATGCATAGTGCTGCAATTAAAAGGTGTAGAGAAAAAGTCTTCCACTAAGCCGTGCTTTTAATGAACTTCTCTGAGCAGCTACTACCACTGTATTCTGCAAAGAAAGAAAGCAGCCATCAATGTTGCAGAATCCAATTTTGTCTCTGAGAGAAAGGCATTGTCATTTTAAGATTATTGGCATTATTATTTTGGATTGAAGGATAAAGTAGAGCCACCACCTTCAGATGTGTTGCCTCTTTAGTTCACCATGATACATAGGCGCCCAATATGAAAGAGAATTGCCTTTCTTGGAAGGCAGCATTAGCAAAGCTTTAGAAGAATGTAGGGTTGGGCTTCAGGACAGATAATGCACTTACTGCTGAAACAAATGCCCTAAATCATTCCCTTTTCTTTCCCTGTAAACATGTATTCACAGACTCTGCAAGTTTCTTCACTCTTGCAAATGGCAGTCAAGGAAATGGGACTGTGGGCAGAAAAACTTTTAGCATGGTGAAATTAGGCATTATGGGAAAGAGGAAAGCTGAAGGTGCAGGGTTGGTGTTTTCAGCTACAGCCCGCCTTGCATTTGACTGACTACCCTGCGTGCAACTGGGCATTATGCTTAGGGAAGTTAGGTGATGCAGTTATCCTTGTTCTTCCTTCAGCCTGGATAAATGCACCTTCATCCCAATGCATGCAATGCATGGAATAGTCTATGAGAATGTGTAGAAAGGGTTTTGGTTCCCAGCTACTTCCCCAAGGTCCTGTAGCTGTACGATTTAGACAAGGAGTGACCTCTTACATCTGGTATGTTTGACAGGTACCTCCTATTTCATATGATGCCTCTGGAAGGTGTTAAAGCAAGCAGCAAATTATTCACACACTGGTTGGACTTGTTTCTAACCTAAGAAAGGTTGTAGCAGTTGTTCAATTACCTTTTGTCCAGATTTTAGTGTAATCACAGCACTCCCAAATCTTGATCTCTCCTGCAGTGGTAAAAACACCAGTTATGCATTTGAAATGTACAAATATGTTAATAAAATTCTACATATGTTGACAATTTTAAAACATCTGCTTGTTCTTCCTTCCCCACTGATACTTTATAGTGGAGAAAAGAGACTAAAGTTTATCTAACACAGGAATGCCACCACCTGCTTCCTTTGCAGTAGTTTAACCAGTGTAATCCGGAACAAAGTATGCCACAACCAGAGAACGGGTACATTGCAGAAGAATACTGACTGAGTAAACCACTGCAAATTGTTTAAACTAATGAGCAAAGCTTATGCAGGTTATAAAACACGGATTCCAGTCACTTCACTATAGTGCCAAATGAAAAACAGCTCAAGTCTGCACCCAGTTGGACATTATTTATAGGTCTACTGAACAGGCCCACCCTAGTCCTAGACAGGTTTACCCAGCCAAAAATCTTACTCAGTGGAATAGGCCGTATATTTCTAAAATTAAGTTTGCAGTAACTGAGTTGGATGCAGCCATACTTAAAAAAAGACTTGCTGAAATCACTGGGGCTTAGGTTACTCATGACTAGGTTCTGCTGATTTCAGTGCATCTGCCAAGTATAACAAAGTCTGGAGCCAACCCTACATTTCTAAGCCAAGCAACATTCTATCCCTAACTGTGACAGTCTGACCTTCAGAAGAGAGGAAGGAACTCTTCCTGTTCTTAATGAGGACTAGAATAGAAATTGCACAATTTTCATTATAAATCATCCCATCTGTGCCTCAAATCCAGGTAAGTTTGTTTTAAGGGTTTGAGATCAGTCATTGAAACTCTTTCAACTCCTATGTTAAACATATAAAGTTTTAGCCACACTGTCTATCTGGAGATGCATTAATCCTTCAGTGTTTGACTGCTTACCTCAGGAGAAACTATGACATACTGCGCCTGTGGAAGAAAGAAAAAACAAGAGACAATCACATTTGTCTTTTTTATTGTAATAAAGCTATATGAATTGATACAATTCATCTGCCTCTTGTGCTATGTAAAGTACTTTCACTATGATATAGAAATTCATTCTGCTGCATACAGCAACATAATACCGTTTTCAGTACAACTATCAACAACCTCAGATATGCAGATGATACCACCTTAATGGCAGAAAGTGAAGAGGAACTAAAGAGCCGCTTGATGCGGATGAAGGAGGAGAGTGCAAAAGTTGGCTTGAAACTCAACATTAAGAAAACTAAGATCATGGCATCCGGTCCTCTCACTTCCTGGCAAATAGATGGGGAAGAAATGGAGGTAGTGACAGATTTTATTTTCCTGGGCACCAAGATCACCGCAGATGGGGACTGCAGCCAAGAAATTAAAAGACGCTTGCTCCTGGGGAAGAAAGCTATGGCAAATCTAGACAGCATACTAAAAATCAAGACATCGCCCTGCCAACGAAAGTGTGTATAGTCAAGGCTATGGTTTTCCCAGTTGCAATGTATGGCTGTGAAAGCTGGACCATAAGGAAGGCTGAGCACTGAAGGATCGAGGCCTTTGAATTGTGGTGCTGGAGGAGACTCCTGCGAGTCCCTTGGACTGCAAGGCGATCAAACCGGTCAGTCCTAGAGGAGATCAACCCTGACTGCTCTTTAGAAGGCCAGATAGTGAAGATGAATCTCAAATACTTTGGCCACTGAATGAGAAGGAAAGACTCGCTGGAGAAGAGCCTAATGTTGGGAACAATAGATGGCAAAAGAAGAAGGGGACAGCAGAGGATGAAGTGGCTAGATGGAGTCACTGAAGCAGTTGGTATGAGCTTGAGTGGACTCCGGGGGATGGTGGAGGACAGGAAGGCCTGGAGGAATGTTGTCCATGGGGGTGCAATGGTCGGACACAACTTCGTGACTAACAACAACATATTGTTAGGTCTATTTGTTATTATTTTGGGTATAACAAAAGGTAGAAACCAGACCCATTTTCTTACCCAGTCTTCTGGACAAGGGGAACTCCATGATGAGCAGTGGTTTGTCACATTACCAGAGGTGGTTTGGTTTCCACTGTATATGTAAACACGTGCAGCCTCTTGGTCATCGAATACAGGCACTACATCCTTACTTCGAAGAGGTGATGTCATAATGATTTCATCTGCAACCATCCATTAGCAGGGGAAAATTTATACATAGTACAAATGTAATAATTATTTTCTTGGAGGTACAAGATGCCATTTATGCTTTACCATCCAGCACGAAAGGTCTAAATTAACACAGACAGCTACAAAATTGGCATGATGTTTTAATTAATTGAACCATTTGGAGTTGCACTAGGTCCTAGACTCTAGGACTGTGCAGTCTTTGGAGTTACACAGAACTATTGTAATGCTTTGTAATGCTCAGGATGAGGAGAACCTTGTAAGCTGCCTTGCACAGCTTGCAAGAGGAAGAAAGGTGGCCTATAAGAGTAATAACATTTCAAACACCTAACGTGGGATGCTGAAAAACAGGAGACTGTAAATTATTGTGGGTTACAGATAACAATAACCTCAGTTCTCCTTTAGTCAGGCAATTATATATCTAAGTTTAAATTATTTCCAGGATCAAAAACTGAATAAAAATATTTATTGGCAAGACATAGCTATGCCTTCCTTACAAGAACTCGGTGTGGCTTACGTATAGTCTTCAAATGGTTTCCTATCCAGGCAGCTTGCAGGACCAGGCCTGTTCATCTTTAGTGACAACCTTGGACTATTCTTCCTTTGTTTCATTCTGCCCAAGGAAAAGTTCTGCACAGCCTGAACAGCTTGCACTGAGATCCCTACAAAGTTTGGCTTGTGTTTTGGATTTCTCTGTCACCTAATCTCTGTCCGCCCTCTTCTTTTCCTTCTTTCTAAAAGCTTTTAAAGATGGTTCTTTGCTGCCTTTCCTTCTCTTGCACTGCTGAGAGCCTTGGATCAGAATTTATGGTTTTACACTTCCTCTTTGTCTCATCCCTTCATGCTTCCTCTCCTGCTGATTTTAACACCAGCCTCCAGCCACAGATCTTTTTAAAAATTATTGTGCACCGCTTTGTAACTTTAGGTGTTTCATAAATGAAGCATGATACAAATTGTGGCAATTCCTCTGTTTTACTTACCAAGTCCATCGTTGTTCAGGTCATGTAAGTGCACATCTCCTCCAAAGCGGGAAAATCGCCTATCCCCATTGAATGTGCTGAGCACGTAAGGCTCGCCCCTCTCCGTCAAGCCATACATCAGAGCAGCTCCTGCTTGATGCAGCACCGAGGATATAAAAACCACCCTGGATGTGCTTCCTGAAAGCAATCAAGCAAGATGACAGGGTTATTGCAGTATTCCTGGGTGATGGTTATACTACTTGGTATTAATAGATGAGCATTGACCATGAGAGAAGATTATAATGAGATCTGACAGCAGGAAACACTGTCTCTACCTAATCCACCATCGCGGTTCAACTCGTCTCCTACCTCTGCAAAAACAAAAGTGAGCTTTTAGAATGATGCTTAAGCTTTACATTGCGTCATGGTCAGCAAAATTCACATTTTTATTAGCTGGCATTTCTGGAGATAAAAGTGAGGGGACAGCTCTGTAGGGAAGGGCGTGGTTTGCAGGTTGCAGGGCCCTGCATTAAAGGCTTTCTGGAAGCGGACTGAGCACCCGATAGATCGATAGCTTTACTAATTATAATGCAGCTTATTTTATTTCAGCAGTGTAGAGCTCCAGGAGCTCCTTTCATTCCTCAGTAATGCAATGCAGATAATGGTGTAGTTGCAGACCAGCATTGTCTGGAGGGTCAGACATTCCACATCCCTGTTATATTCTGAAAGTGGACCAGCCTAGTCCGTCATGAGCACTTGGCATCAAGAGGCTGCTGAAAAGGGGAACAGCAGAACATTCCCACATGCATTGGCAGGATAACACGGACCAGATCTTCCCCGTCTTAAGGATGCTACAATACAGAATCTCATTAATCCACTGCTGTAGTGCCTCAAAACACCGGCAAGTGGAAATCTGGCCTTTCTTTTCTAGAAGCTTTTACATGGAGCTCACTTTAGTCATGACTAAATTAATCCCATAGATTTTAGTGGGTCTAATTTAATTTTAAGTATGTCTAAATCTGGATGCAATTCAAGATGGTTCCATTTTCATGTGACCAGGGAGCTGTGGTCAAAATCTCTAAATGAGTAATTTAAATGTGTTAAATATTGGCAATGTGTAATTCATGAAGAGCTGAGTGAACATGAATCACAGGGGAAAGAGTGCCTATATTATGTCCACTTATGTTGACACTTAAATGGCCCCAAATCTTTCTGCTGTAGCAAAGTATTTATACAATTGATATGCATTACTTTGATAAAGCTCATTTTATCTACCATTGTTTTGGTATATTGCTAAAATATGCATTGCAGTAAACTGTAAAGAAAAATTACCCCAAGTCCAATATCGCATACCTTGTGTTGGTGCACCAACTACAAACACTTGTCTAGGGATACCTTCCACCAATAGGAAACCAGTAGCCAAAGATGAACCAAATTTTCCCATGTCCTGTGTGTTAATTAAAAACAAAGCATTAACCTTCTACAGTTGCCATCTTCCTTGGATATTTTAATATTATTCCTCAAGGGATATCAAAAGGACCTACCTCATCTCCAGATAAAGTAAACCAGCTTTGTGTGCTTGGTGGGAAGTAGCCATACACCCTTCCAACAGCCTGCTTGGTATCTTGTGAGAGGTAACAACCTAGACTGGAGTATACCATGGTTATAATCAAAACATTAAGAGGGTAGTGATGGGATATGAAAAGCAATGCTTATGCGAAAAAGCCTTAGCACCACTGTGGTCAGCATCTTGGTTCAGAAGCGGTTTTTGGAGCATGCAACCAAAGTGCTTACTTTTTCATTTAATAATGTATTTGTTAAATTTTAAAGGATGGTTTTGCTGCCTTCCAGTCTTGATTTCCCATTTGAAGTGATATTTGAAGGATAGCTATTTTACATGTCCTCTAAATAGTACAGTTATTAAAAGAGTACATTTGAGAAACTTTGTTAACCCTCTTTAGATACGGGAAAGTTAAATGCAGTATACCTTTTACAGCTCTTCCAAGAAGGACTGCCAATAAGCAACATGGTCTTATTCTGAACCTGGATACTCGCGAGGGATGAACCAAACCAGGAATAATCCCTTTCTCCTCTCACTATCCAGTCAGCATCTGATAAGAGCAGTGTGCCTGACAAATCATACAAAAAACAAACAGTGATGATGAAAGGATATCATATTATCCCAAAAAATGACACTTAGTTTATGTAACAGGAACATTTACTATATTAAATCTCAAGATGAAACACAGATCATCATTCTTCATAGTGTTACCTATTGCATTTAGTGTTGAAATTATAAGATTACCTCTACGATATAATCTAAGAATGCAGTGTGTGTCTGTGAGGTAATGAAGTTTTAATCCAGTGCACACTCACATGGGAGTAAGTCCCCCAGAATTCAGTAGTGCTTACTTCTAAATATATAGGCTTGCACTGCTAGTCAATTTATGGATCAGTATTGGACAACAGGCAGCAATTTCCATGGGATATTTAATTCAGTATGAACTACAGTACCCATAGACTCCTGGCTGTATATGCAACCCTGACTTTGGGGTTGATGTACCAAGCAAGTGTGAGTTATGCAAAAGTTAAATGATGCACACATAATTTGCTTTCTGTTTATTAATACTACCACTACTCCTGCTATTACATTGGATTTTAGGGATAACTGAGGGTGGTTTAGCCCTCGCATAATCCACACCCAACAGGGTTTGCACTGAGCATATTCAAAATGGCAGCTGCATGCACCCCCCACATGCTGTGTGTACATGCCTGTGAGTAAGTGAATGGGGGCGGGGGGGGGGCAGCGGAAGAAGCAGGTATGAACTGGGCTTACATTTGCCATGATAGCTCAGGTCTGACCACTTTTAAACTACTACTGACTGTTGAACTCAAGGCACTGATTTAAATCAAGAATCTCATACAGCGATCAGAGAATTTTAGAGTGCAAGCCCCTTGCGGTAGGCACTGTCAAGCAGGCTCTTTCTTTCTTCTTTAACTGATTATTTGAAGTGTTTTTATGCAACTCCTCAGCCAAAGCTACTCCCAGTGCAGCTTACATATGATAAATTAAACAAGCAAGTCCACTGTGCAGACTTAAAATCTGAAGAGATGCAGCGCTCAAGGGAAAAGAAAGGGGAAGTGGGAGTGGGGAAATGCATTGTTTTAACAGGGCTGGTTCAAAGGCCCCACTTATCCTCTCCCTTGGCTCAGCCAGCAAGGACAGCTGTGGGTGGTGCCAGGTGAGGGGGCAGGAGCCTTCATGAGGGATGCTCTTCACAGGGCTGGTGGAACCTTCTCCCTCTCATCTTCCTCAGCTCACCCTGACAGAATGACTATTGGTGGTGACAGGGAAGGGAGGAAGTGCAAAGACGCTACTATATAACCAAGCACACTTGCATCACACACACAGGGAGATGCTGTGCAAGTTGAGAGGCCCCACTGATATTCCTGGGGGTGCAGTTCCTTCCCAACATTCCTTCCGACACCTGGAACCTTCCCTGCCCTGAGCCGACTGAACAAGCCCTTGCAGGCAGAGGTCTGAATGAGCCTCAGACTCTCTCAAGAAGATCCACTGTGCTTGGGGAACTGGCTGCAACTTTACAGTCCATGGTATGTGTCCGATTCAGAGGGTGCCCAAAGTCCTTTTCAATGAGAATGAGAAATATTTGGGTGCCCTTCTAACAACAGTCCCTTTGTGGTCTTGTATACATTGAGAATCTACTTCAGATCATAAAGTAGTTCAATATTCCTGATAAACAAGCCATGATGGAAACTGCTTCATAATGAAGTCGAGTAAGTTTTTCTTCCATGAAGAAAACTAGGGAATGGTATCTAGGTCTTTTGCATGAACTGACTTTGGTCCTTAAGAGCATGCCTCTTTAGCATGAGATGCATGATCTAGCATTTATTACAAGTATTATTACACACGAATGTGGGAGACAAAAATCTAGAAGATTACCGTGGTTTGAAAAAGAGCTAAACTAAGGCAAGAGAAAAAGAAGCTATGGCAAATGTCACCTTCGTCGCTTCTGTTGAAAGATGAGTAAAAGGAAGCCACACATCCTCTTTGTTTTCCACCACCAGGTGCATAAGGAGAGCCAACTAGAAGATCGTTCTTTCCATCCCCATCAACATCAGCTGCCAGCAGTGATGAGCCAAGATTACAGTAGAGTTCCTGAGAAGGGCGATATATTGGTTTTCAGATAAGGGGACATGCTGTTCTATACAGAAAGAGAATGACAGCAAGGAAATGTCTCTATGAAAAAGACAAGATTATGGGTCCTCTTGCATAATCCCTCTCTTCCTAGAGAACAACTGTCAACTATGGACCACGGTATTGGTTGCATAGCCTACCATTTTAATCAAAAATGAAATTCAAGGTGGCTTTCAATACCCATTAAAACAGTACATAGAATAGAGCCATAAGAATTATAGAAAAATATGTTATTAAAAGCAGCACCCAACCCAACAGACAGCTGCTCCTACAAACATAAAGGCCTTCTTGAATAAAACAGCTTTGCCTGTGGATGGACAGCAGAGAGACAGCAAAGCTCGCCACCCTGGAGATACCATTCCACAGCCTGGGCACATCCACCACACACAGTCCTCAGCTTTCCAAGGTTTCTGTACACACCCACAGGCTCAACAAATTGAAAGGTTCCTATTATGACTGAACAACCAGCATCCAAAGTCACATCCATCAGGCATGTATCAATACAGGTAATAACATCCAAGTAGAATGGCCATGGTTGATTTTATCTACTTAAATCTTAGACAGTAGCCTATTGAGAGGTCCACCTTTTCTTTTGGCAGTCTAGAGAGTACCAGATCTCAGATCACACACAGAAGTTCCACTGGGAGGCTCCAAGTAGATACAACTGGGACAGTGAAGTAAGAACCCTTTGCTGCCTTCCTAGCACGGAGCAGGCAGTGCTCAAATGAGCTTGAGCTCATGTTCAGTTGGACTCATTCCAGTTTTTCTGCCAATGTCACTTCAGCTGACGTCTCACTTGTTTTATGGCCTGCAACTCTTGGGTAACCAGTGGGCTTGCTTGGATCTACTCCATGGAAAGGGCAGTCAGGAATGAATGTGTCAACCACCTGGACAATTTCTCCATTCCAGACATCAACCAGGGCTTCAAAAATCACCTGCCAAAGTCACAAAGGGCATGTGCTGTTCTTTAATGATAGGTGCCTGGCTCACTAAGGCTACATAACAGCCATCCTGTCTTAGTACTGTCCTCTCCGGTCTTTGTTCAAACAAAGTAAATTCCATGTTTTTGTATCAGTCCTAATAAAATCTGTCTTAATTGACACCAGAAATAGCACTAAAATCTTAATTCATGTTATGTTTATTCTGTGTGAACTGAGAGAAACCCTGGCTTAATTTCAGATTGGCATGCATTGTCATTTGATTAAAAACTTACATTACACATTATGGTAATATTTGGTAGGCTGTGAAGATGTCTTCTTTCTCTCTTGCCAAAAAATATATACACAGAACCCTAAATAACAGAAAATAATATGTATTAATTTGGGCACAAATCAGAGTTTTATATTATAAGTGACTTCAAGTTTGAAATATCACAATAAAAAAGTATACAGGCATACTACTGTAGTCCAGACTAATCTCATCAATCATTTGGATATCACCATTTTTCACACACAATTTTCAGATATCACCATACAAAAAATAGATTGTCAGCTAATTGATGAGTCTACTTTATTTCCCGTTGGGTAATGCCAAAAAGCATACCCTGGTAAAGCACCAATATTAAATGCAGTGAACTACATACAACCATAGAGAAAACAAAGCTCAGTCGCATTTTTACATTGCAATTTTACAAACACAAATTTATGCTTACCGCATAAGTGAGCCGCTGTGATCCTACAGATGGTGCTCCCACCACAAGATCCAGTACACCATCCTCATTGAAGTCCAGAACTGTTAAGGCAGAACCAAACCTTCCCGAAGGCTTTAAAAAAATCCCAAAGCATGGATCATTCCTGTAACCTGGCAGTCATTTAAACATTATCGATCTCTTTAAACAATGCAATAACTTACACTATGATTGGACGTATCTTTTTAGGATTTTTTGTTAACATTTAGCCTACATGCTGTGGCCCTTTTTAATTGCTTTTATAGAGGTTTAATTTGTGTTTTAATTGGTTTTAATGTGTTTTACTCTGCTAATATGTTTTATGCATTGTAAGCTGCCTAGGAAGGCCTCGGCAATTATAGGAAGCCTATAAATACATGTAAATAAATAAAGTGTACGGTTAATATTTACTTGAAAAATATCTCTGTGATAATGGGCTGTACTTTAAAGAGATATTAAGCCATCATAGGAGAGTTCTGTTAAAGGTATTTAAAACTTGCATAACACTAGCTGTTCAATTTCTCTTCTTCCTATTAAGTCTTGACTATTGAATCCCAATCACAATTAAAAGGAGAATCAAATCTCCCACCACATTTATAATCGCCATCCTTCCGAACCAAAAAGGGTTGGCTATACCTTCAAGGTAGTTGTTGCTGGTTCGTGGCCAATCACCTGGAACATCTGACATTTCTCACTTGTTACCCCATCTGAACCTGACACCACTAAGTATATTAAGGCTGCCCCCAGACATCTCAGTTTGTTCCCAAAATTCCAACCCCATCTTGAAACTGTCTGGTTTTCAAGGGCTGCCTGGTTTATCTCTGGGTTTATAGGTCATTTCCACTTTGCCAGTTCCAATCCTGCCTCTTCCTCCACTTTTGAATAAGAATTAGGGTCAACAACTTTTGAAAGCCTGTATTATGGGAAAAGTGAGCCAAATCACTACAGGAACTGCATTTGAACGTTAAAATGGAGGGATGTTCTCAGCATACAAAACCAATGGCAAAACCATACTACTACACACATATATAGATATCCATTCACTCACAAGTATCTTGGCAAAGAAATCTTATTTGATTTGAGCAACAATGAACAGAAGATGGGCTTAAATTACAACTGACTTTTAAATATGCATTATTTTAATCCACCTTCTTTCAGAAAACAGATTCATGATGTGCTTGCCTTTCAGGTGACCCAAAACACACACAAAACACGATTTCCACTTAGCAACATTTGACCTGCTTTCCTACCGTAATCCCTTCTAGTATTTCATCTGCTTGCTCGTCCAGGTCCAAGTCTGCATGAGGCAAACCTGACTCATTACCATATATAATGTAGACACTGCCCCTCTGAATGTGTCCTGGCTGGCTGTAGCCTGGGGCTCCAGCTATTAAGTCGTCATATCCATCCTGGTTCAGGTCAGCTGAAGTCATTGCCCTGCATGCCAAGGAAAACAATTCCAATTACTATTTGGTGCATTTTCGCCAAAGCATCCATATTCTCCTTTCCAGGTTTCAAAGGGACTGGTCAGTTTCCAGTTACAACACTAATTGCAATTGTTAATGTTTTTAATACAATGTACCTTTTACTTTTTAAAAGATGTGATTTGTGGACTGTCCAAAGAACTTCAGCTGTTGAGTGGTACTGAGACTAAATAAATATAACAAATCTAAGCCAATTTAGCCTTTAATCCTATTAATTCAGTGTTGTTCTGGATGCAGCTGAAATGCTTGGGTTTAAAATCTTGAATCTGATCTGATATAGTGCTTTGCTGATAAGTCTCTTCCTTGCTGAAAAGCAGAGCATTTGCATCACAGACTGAAAACTAAACACAGTGGCTTGTATGAAAACACCCTTCATAAGCATGTTGCTTTCACCTTTGAACCAGTAAAATTATGTTTTTCAATATCCTATCAGTAGTATCAGAGCAATGCAAGCTGACCTATCACAAAAAAATTAAAATAAGAGACATCAGTGCTTACCAGCCAAGTTTTGCATATGCTGTTTTCAGAAAATATGAAGCACTGGGTTTGGTGATGTGCTTAGAGGACAACTGCCCTGTGATTTCCAACAGTCCCCTCAAATTCTTCACAGTGGCACTATTCCTGAACTGAAGATAATTCTAGGGAAAAATAAACATGGGAAAAGCAGAGTATATTAAACATATGCTGATTTTTTGAGACCTGATTTATACTTGATGCAGTATACATAATGTTACTGTTGGATAAACCTCAACTAATGAGAGCAGCTACACCCATGCACTGCTATTGATGATTTCACTTGGGCCAGTAAAAGATCCACAGAACTTTACACACAGTATACCAGATTACCAGATTCTTTCCTTGACCAACCATTAGAATCTTAAAACCTCTTGGAAAAGATGAAACCTGTAAAGAGAATATTCTCTTACACTGGGTTGGATCCAGAATTTGCATGCTGTAGATGGAAGACCTCCTTATGACTTGATCCATCAAAATATTTCTGTTCCTGGAATGGGGGAGCAGACCATTTCTGTTGATTCCCTTCCTACAGTCCCTTATGCCTCCCAGACGTTGACTTGCAGAGTTAGGGGACCGTCTGGAAAAGTGCAGGAGGTGGCACTCAAGGATACAGAATGAAGAGAAATCAACCAGTGGGAGCATTCGGAGAGGGACTGTGCTCAGAGGATGTTCCTGCTGGTGAAAGTCACTTTTTCTGCCTTCCCTGAATGATTTGTGAAAATGAAGAATGGCAGTTGCTGGAGCAGCAGGCTCTTTACCTGATGGAGTTCAGCAGTGCTCAATTCATCACTCTCTCAAGCTGGCCTAGGGCCAGGCATTTAATTGCTACAGAGGCAGTGTAATGCTTCCCTTGCTTACCCAAACTTCATGCTGGCCAGGTTCATACTTTAGATTCTCTGTCACTATGACCAAAATGGATTTTGTTTTAAAATTCCAGTGCACTTAACATCAAAGTAAATGACTAGAGGACCAAGATATAAGCCTACAGTCCAATGAGCACTTGGGAGTAAGTCTCACAGAAATCAATGAGCTCTACCTGTGAGTAAACATATATAGGATCAGACTATAAAATAAAGCATTTTTCTAAGCAGTTCAGAAATAGTTCAAGTTGTTTCTTCGGTTTGGAAATGTAGCTGCACACAAGCATTTATTAGGATCTGATCTTTAGATTCTTATCCAAAAGTGTGAAATTCTTCAAGACAGTAATTGGGGTTATTTTAGGGTGGAATCCAACATCTGCCATGGAACTTTACATTCCCAAATTCTAGTCCACACTGAAAAAGACTAGATTTCTAGCCTTTGTGGTTGCCAAGAAAACCTTGGAGACATCTGGATAAGCTCAGAAACTGGAAAGGGCTAACAAGTTTAAGTATCGAAGTGAGAACTGGATCTCTTTCTTAGTGGCTGCTGTTCCTTTTCTTCCTCATCAATAGCCACAATCAGCAATCTCAATTTCTCTCTTTTAATCCATGTATCCTAGCTAAGCCCTTGCTGTCCCATCTCCAACAAGGAAAGAACTGGATTATCTACCTGTCTCCAACTAGGTCTCTGTTCATTACCATGAATATTTAGATGCCAGAAAGACTTACTGCAGCCACAGGGGGTATGTCCAAATAAACTCCTCTCTCTGTATTGTTAACATTCTTTGCAACTGATTGGGTCAGAGAAGATGTTAATTTTTTGTTGTGCTCCGTCTGAGACTGTTTGATCCTATTGAAAAAAGAAAGTCAGGAATAGTTTGCTCAGGGGACTATAAAAATAGGTCAGAGTCACTGGCAACTTTTCATGTCAGAGACAGCAAAATAATAAATATTTAAGTAAAGGAGGAGATTGGAATTATCAACTGTTTTAGGTACAAGTCACAGAAGCATTTCCTTATATACATTTTCTGACTTTGTTCTATGGTTCTCAACAATCCTGTGTGTTAGGTATTCACGCAGCTAGTCCTGCTTTGAGTTTCATTTACTATTCTCTACTGCTTTTCTTTTTTTTTTTTTTTTAGGGGGGGTTAGTTTTTCTGAGACAAATTACTTGTTTTGTGTTATGTCAACAAGTTTAAGACCACATTTTTATGAAAAAGTTAATTGCCCTCTAAATACCACAAAAAATTGGCCATCTCCAATCTTGTATAAGTCCAAGGATACATTCCTAATTCAAATGAAGTATTTCTGTCATTGATTTGAAGAGGGCCAAAGTTAACTCAAATGGTACTCCATCATAAATGAAACAGAATCATTGACTAAAAACATTTATGTTCTGATGATATAGGCTGAAAATCAATGAATTTATCTTCAGAATTACATATTCCGCTTGTTCTGCATCATTGGATATAACTAGGTAATGACTTTAGAGTGTTTCTAGAGTGTCCTAAATCTGATCCTTTGCATATTAAATTCACTGAACAATAATGACATTTTTAATTTCAAAGATGCCAAAAATACAACCAAGGCATTAAGAGAGTTCTGCTATACAGTGCCAGAATGTCCTTGAATAAAATTCAAATAGGTAAATTTAGAAGCTAGTTTGAAAAGGACAGAGAAGTAGCATAAGCACATCAACTTGAAACTCTCATACAGAAAAAATATGCATATGTCAATTTTTATCTGATTTAGGTAACAGAATCCCAAGCACAACATGAAGAGAAAGAATGATCATATTAAGTAATACAAAGTTTGGAGGTTATTCAAACAACCGTAGAAACTAAGTAAATAAATGTTGGTTTTGCTTACCCAACAGTAATCATTTGCTCATTTTTACACTGAATATACAGAGGATTCTCTGGAATAAAGCAATCACTGAAAAAAATAAAAATGAAAAAGAGGAAGATGCATTCCAAGTACATATTTTTACATACTGAATGGCTAATACAACTCTCAGGGCCAAGACGGAATTAATTTTGAAGGTATCTAGCCACTGGCTTTTCATTTTACTCAAGAGCCAGTGTAGGGGATGTGATCCAGATGTTACCAGCCCCCCATGCTAGGGTCCTGAAGCAGACCAGGAGCCCTGTGTCTAATTTAAAATAAACATTGTCCTCCCAATACATTAAACCAACACCTCACCTGGTCCCACTTGTTAACATATGACTTGTTAATTGGAAAATATTATTCGATGAAAATGCCATATCATCCACACCACCCAGAAAATAATCTTGGAATTTGTCCACCAAAAATGGCGACTTCCTGGCATAGAAGGGGTACAGCTATGAAAATCCAAAATACAATGCAGTTAGTGGGACGGCAACCTCAAAAGCAGCGCTCAACAAAGAAAGGCTTTTAAAGAAAACTCATACCTTGGCGACAGCAGCAACTTCACCATACCTGGGCAGGGGGAAAGTGTTATTATTTACCATCTCGGTAGAACTTTTCCATGAACAAAATACTTCCTAAAGTACATTTACATACTTTCTTTATGTTAGTATACTGCCTTGAGTGCCTCTATAGAAAGACAGTTGGCAATTTTAAAATAAGAGTAGTACATTACACTTTTTTCTAGCTTAAAAATGAAGCTATGAAGCAAGTCAGGCTGAAGCTAGTGCTGGCCATCTGCCAGTGGAAAAGATACCACGAGCCTAATTACACTGCATTTTCGGCCTGTCTTTTTCCTCTTGTGAGGAGCCCAAGGCAGCTTACAAAGCTCCATCTTATCCCCACAACAACAACCCTGTGAGATAGGATGGGCTGAGAGTCTGTGACTGGCCCAAAGTCACCCCGTGAGCTTTACAACCAAGTGGGGAGTAGAATCTGGATCTTCCAAGTGCCCAGTCTAACCTCCACCCTTGCTCCCACGCCCATAGTCCCCTGTGCTTCCCCAGTTGTGCTCCAGGAGGTATGAAGGCAACTCGCTTCAGTACACTACAGTTAGGATCACAGTGTGTCCAAGTTCAGACATACTGGAGCTTTTCACACATCACAACAGCCCACAGGGGTTCATTTGCCCACAGGGACTGCTGTGTGATGAACAGGCACACATGGGCACCATTTTTGCACAGTGCTCACAGCTGCCCAGCTTGCCATGGCTTGCTGTGTCTTGCAAACCCAAGCCGCAGAGGTGATTTGAGGGCTATCCAGCCATGGCTTCTTTTAGGGTTATTTGAGGCAAAAGTGGCACTTGGCATGTTGTTACAGTCCCCACAGATAAATTAGCACATGGAGGGCTGTTATATCATGAGAACCAGGTCAATGACAGGCCATGGTTGATTTAAAAAAAATGGAAGGGAAAGCATCTGTCCTTGTAGCTGCATGAGAGGCGGAGAAGGCAGAGGAGGGGAATTGTGGGACCTCCATGATCACTGTGCTCATTTGCATAACAATAAGCCATAGTTTTGTTACCTTCAAATGCTGCTTTTGTGGAACACTCAGCTGAGGAAGCAACACATACCATGAACCAACAGAGATGCCTGATAGCTGAAGGAATTCATTTCCATCATGTTCATTATCCAGTGATTTATTCAGTTGAAATAATTAACTGAACAAAACTGTTTTAAACATGCAACCTGAAACAACCCTATGGGTTAGTGTGCAAAGAATTGCATGTTTAGAATAGGGGCAACAATTGCTGGAAGACTGAACAAATGTTCTAATATTTCTACATTTCCTGGAATCTCCTTCAAATTCACTTTACTGTTTCTTCAAAATGCATTGAATTTTGAATGTATATATGCCCTTACCTGTCCTATTCAGAAAACAGAGAGAAACAAAAATAGCTTACATGACTTTCCAGTCTCAGCATGTGAATCTCTTCCAACACATCTTTAAAACCTCAAGCAAATTATCCTTCTGCCTACTCCTGTTCCTGTCCCTTTATGGATAAAAACACCTCTCTGAGTAAATTCTCCTTTTTGTCACTTTATCTTGTTCAACTCTCAACAGCCTTACTAAGCTTCTCCAACCGAGCAAGAATGAATAACCTTTGTTTAAACCCAACAACCTCCTTGCCCATAAGTTTATTGCCAAAGTTATCAAATCTACAGCAACCTATCAAGTCAGTCCTCACTTTATGACATGAAAACACAAAAGTTCACTTTGACTTACAATTCAAGAAGCTGCAGGTATGTGCACTCAACAATAGCATCTTCAGTTATCATTACCCGGCCGTAAAACTTCTCATAAATTGACAATAAATCCTGCACAGGTACATACCTAAATGTATTAACACCAGAGATTCTGGATTAATCCTACAAAGTTCATTGATATGACGAGATGTCAAAAGCAAACCTTCATCTCCACGTTTCCTGATGAATATTGGAAATATTACAGAAGTATAATAGTAAACATCTAAGAAGGAGACAATGTACAAAGTATGAAAGGCTGTAGCCCACTGGTAAGGCACATCTCTGGAATACACAAGGTCCAGTTTCAGTCCCTAGCATTCCCAGAGCCTAAAGCCACTACTAGTCAGTGACTGGGTTTGCATAATCATCATGGCTCAATGCGGTTTCAGTACCAACAAGCACCATCCTAAAAATTCAAGCCACAAACATGGTTTGTCATGCTATCTGAACCCAATGGATTGTGCAACACTACATGATACGGATACAGGCCAAGGGTTCTATGAGAGTTGTTTAACCCTAGAGTCCTGTCGCATCTTAAAAATCAACAAACATTGACTGGTTTGTACAACACAACAACTCGCAATGGCCAACAGCTATAGTGGGCTGTCACCCCACGCAAGCCAGGCTGTCTTCCTGCAGGGCAGCCTATTTGTGCAGTTTTTCTGCAGAGCATGCCTTACTGTAGAAGTTGTACCCATGATTGGGTGACCAAACCCAGGTGACTGGTCCCATAAGAAAATCTGTTTTGCATTTATTATTAAATTTATTTCCCACCTTTTTTTCTTTTTAAAGAACTCAAAGCAGCTGACCTCCTCCTCCTCCTGCTCTCCATCTTATCCCCACAACAACAACCCTGTGTAGTAGTTTGGGCTGAGGGTCTGTGACTGGCCCAGAGTTGCCCAGCTGGCTTCACGGCTGGGGGGCTGACTAGAGCCCAGGTTGCCTGAGTCCCAGTCTTGTGCTCATAACCACTACACCACAGTTGCTCTTACCAAGCTCACCAAGGCCACTGCTGGTGAAGCCAATCCAATAATGCCTAAGCAGCGCAGTGGAGCAACCCTCACGAGCTCAGTGTCCCCCACATCAAACACAAGCCCTTTTGTGCTTTTCATGGCTTTTTCCCAGTTCTTTTTTGGAAATCACTTTTTACATTTTCTGAAGTGACAGTGAGTGATAGCCCTTCCTTCCAAAGTGCTCAAGCAGCTCCTTGGAGGGGCTGTCACTGGTTTACCACTTTTGAAAAAATGCAAGAGATCTGTACAAATATCGTTGTTAATTTTTAATCTGCATTCTCTCGACAGCTGTCAAAAGATGAGCTGTCAAAGAAGAGCAAAACCACAGTAGAGATTTGTTCATGAAAAAGAGGTGGAGACTTCCCCCTCATTCACAGTAAGAACCTCAGTGCTTTCAGTGTGCCCCCCATACTTACCAGTGGTCCCACTTTTAATACCCTTTCCCAAGACTCTTGGGAAAAGGGGAAAGTACATTCTACCCCATTTTCTCTAACACTTAATTTGGACAGCTATCAAGTAAGGCTTTGTTTTAGAACAGAGATTTAGGCTGGGATAATCAGGGTTATTTGGAAAGGGAAATGTATACATCACATATACATATACATCTATATGTCTCTTCCTGTCCAAACTACCATGCAGAATTTACAATTGCAGCAGGGAAAGGAAACAAGGTAGCTTTAGGCTGCCAAGTCTCCTGAGATACAAGATGGAGGACAAAGGAGGCAGGAAAAGGCCTACCATGAGTGCAATCCTCTACTGGGCAAACTGTGGGTTGTTTCACAAACAACGATACTGCATAGTGTATTTGCAGGGTAGGCTGCCATGTTGCATAGCACTACCTAGTACCACGCCTTGGCTTTTCAGCATCACACTGGATAGAAACTGAAAGCCATGGACCTTTAGTAACTGTCCCCTTGCCTGTTCTTTGTACCTGGTGTGTGTGAATTAAAAATCCACTGCTATTTTACTTACCAGCTGGAGTTCAAATAACTAAAATCAAACTCATACTGGCTTAACACATCTCCTCCTAAAATTCAAGAGAAAAGGACATAAGTCAACAGCAAATAATAAACAAATTTACTGCAACTAAAAGCATCTGAGTTTCACTGGCATTTTGTGGATCAGAAGATTTTCAGATGAAGGAAGTTTAGAAGACTATAGGACTTAACTGTACAGGCACAACTAGGCTTCGGCATGGGCTTGCTTCACACATACAGAAAGAGCAATAGGACACCCATTTCTCTATTATGTTTTTCCATGCAGATACATGTTACCTGTATGTGGATATTTCAATGATATGGGATGGATCAACTATATGGGTCTCTTCTATGTGACTAGGAATAATTAGTTAGGGTGCTGATGCAAACACACCCCATAGCCATGGTTGAATAAAATCACAGGGAGACAAGGCAACATATATGCAGCTTTATACATAAATGGGGAAGCCATGATCAAATGGCAGCCCCTCCAGACCATTCACCCATGAGCTTTTGAAACCTACAGAGACATGATGGGAGTCTGCAGTTTCAAGGAGTCTCACTCGGTACCTGCAAACCCAGAGATGCTTTTATGGTCACATAAAAGTTCGATGTATTTTGGGTAATAAAATTCTTCCATTTAGGATAAATAGGTGGTTGAGACATTCCATATCAGACTGTTCTAGAACAACTGTCCTCAATCTGGTACCCCCACCCATATGTCTTAGACTACAATGTCCATAATTCCTGACCAGTTCTCCAGAGTCCTGCTCATACTGGTTGAAGTTAAACATCTGAATGGCACTGTTTTAGAAGCTGAGAAACTCCAAAATAATGGCAACTGGATATTTTAAAAGTTGTTTAAAATAAGATACACAATCCCAAAACAGGAACTTGAGATCTGATTACAGCTGAACTATGTCTAAAAAACAGAATATTCTTCCTCTGATGAAAAGTACATGAGCTCAGACCAGTGTCATGATTTAATCTTTTTTGTGGAGACTGTCTTGTCACAGAACATTAATCACTTATTTTAGGCTGCCTAATTCTGCCTTTTACCAGATTGTCCTATAAGAATCTTTAGGAATGCACTAGAAATTTGGGCACAACGTTCGAGAATCCATAAATACAGAAATTACCAAAATCACCAGCAGCATGAGCTTCTGAATATGAGCCATGAAAATCAATCTAGGCAAAAAAGAAACACACTTTACAGTTCATAAATCATTTATGATCAGAGAAATTATGAAGTACATAAGAATGTAAGAAGAGCCATGCTGGGTCAGATCAAGGATACACCTTTTAAAAAAAAAAAAAATTCTTAACATATACAAATACACAGAAGAAAATGTAGAATAAAAGAAAAACTAATATAAACAAAACAGACTAACATGGACACAATAAACAATGTTGCCAAGGGAATTGTAAACAAATTCAGCCCATATATTGAAGCCCCCAAAACTGACTCTTTTCATATCTTCCCACACTCTATGAGAGTTTGCAAAAAGGAAAAAAAATCACTATTCTATATATCAACAGATTTTCTAACCAGTTCAAATATTACTGCTTTCCTTTTTCCTTTCCCAACTCCCCTAACTTCCATTAGTCATGCTAAGCACAATAAAATTTCCATTTGTCATTAAATTCTTCTAATGGTCTCCTATTTACATAACTAGTTGGCTTTGCCATCACTGCATTTTCTGCTAATCAATTTCTCCATTCTTCAATGGTTAGGGGCTCTGGTGATTTCCATTTAGAAGCTATTGTGATTCTTGCTGCCATAGTCATATACTTAAATAAATCTGACATGTTTTTTAAAAGGGTCTCTGCCATGATATTCAAAAGCATGTTCTTCAGACTCATAGGAAACTTAACTTTAAAGATTTTCTGCATTTCTGCATGTATCAATTTCCAAAATGTTTGTGTTATTTCACAAGTCTACCATATATGATAGAAAGTCCCATCTACCCTCTTACATTTCCAACAGTTTCTATTATTAATTGTAATCTATTTTCCAATATCTTTTGGAGTAATGACCAAGGCTCCATCTTGACCAGCATTCTGTTCAGAGAGTGGCCAATCAGTTGCCCATGGTATCCCTGAAGCAGGATCTTTATGAATAAGTGAAAAAGCATTGGTCCCAATAAAGATCCCTGTGGGACCCCACTGTTTATATCCCTCCTTTGGGAGAATTAACCATTTATTCTTGCTCCCTGCACTTTGTTCTTTAAGCTGTTCCTGGTTTATATGAGGACCTCCTCTCTTATTCTACAACTGCTATGTTGCTCAAAGACTTTGGTACAGACTTTGTCAAACACTTTTTGGAAATCCAGGTAAACAATGTCTACCAAAGCCCTCCTGTCCACATGTTTATTGACACTCTCAAAGAACTCTGAATGGTTACCTTTCAGAAGCTTACCTTTGCAGAAACTATGCTGAAGGTTTTTCAGCAGAACTTGTCTTTCTCTATGCTTACTAATTTTATATTTAATAACACTTTCAACCTATTTACCTGGAACAAACGTTAAGCTAACCAGCCTATAATTTCCTGGAACACTTCTTAAGAATTGGTGTTACATTGGCCATTCTCCAGTCTTCTCCTGCAGTGGCTGGTTTAGGGACATGGTATACATCATGGTAAGAACAGTATGTAAGCAGAAATATAATTTCTCATTTTCTCCACCCTCCCTACCTAAGGATGATGGGAGTTGTTATCCAACACATCTGAAGAATACCCAGTTAAGGAACTATGTTGTAAACTTTTTTTTGCTAACAGTACCATACCTTACTTTCTAAAGCTCAGCAAACAAATGTTGCTATACTGCTTTATTCCCAGAATACTGATAAACAGTGGGACAGATGATTAAGAAAGGGGCAGCAGTGCTATCACACGAGGGTAAACTGAGATCCATCCCTGACCCACACTGAACAGCAGGAGGAGGTGTGCATGAGACTTTGCAACTGAGGCACAAGCTGACAGCTCTGTCAAATCTTCCCCGCCTTTCCAGATTTGACTTTGCCACATGATCAGAATGGCAATGGCAAACAAATGCAGTGCTTCCCAGGAAAATTTCCCTTCACATTTTCAAGGTTGACTGCTCAGCTGATCCAAGCAGCTGGCAAATCCACCCTTGTTTTAATCACTCTAATGAAAACCAAATACAGGTGCAATTGATGAGAAGTTTCCTCAGGTGCCTCACCTGACCACTGCTTTCTAATCTGTGTTTTCCGTGTCATCAGTAGCCTCAGCTAATCTGTAGTCTGATCTTACCCAAGACGTGTTAGACTACAACTTGCATCATCCCATAGCCGAGGGGCACCTGGCTGGGGAAGGCTGTTGTAATTCTTACTAAAAGGAGGTAAACACAAGCAAAATTCTTTCCCTCATTCTCCCGGCTTCACATTCATTGTGTGCAGGCAGGATATTGTGATTATATATGTAAAGAGGAACAATAAAAACAAAAGATCAATATGGTTATAGTAAGCTTTGGTCACAAACAAAAATTCCTCTGCCTAATAAATATTATGGCACACCACTTACTGCTGCCATGGCCTGGAGAAATCCTTGTTCAATGCCCAAGCTATGCCAGCTCACATCTGCCACCATATGAGAAGCAATTCCAAACAGGAAAGCAACCAGTTTCTCTGTAGCCTGAATAGCAGCAATAAACACACATAACCATACACTTAATGAAGTACATTAAGAGAATTCAGAGATACAAACCCACACTATGGCTGCATTCACACATAACAACAAGCCATGTGGGAAACCATGCTGGAAACCATGGCTTGTCATTATGTGTGAACCCAGCATCCATGGTGAAGTATAGCACCTTTGGTTTCCATAACACTACCCAGAGAAACAGCGACTTGTTGTAAGGTTCCCTACTTCACCATGCCTTATTATGTAAGTGTAACCCCAGTTACAATGTTTCTGCATGGCTTCCCACATTTCTACCATAGAATTTGGCAGCAAGAGAAGCCATGGCTGCAGCAGATGCTCTAGCCTGCATTTTCCATTGTCCTCTTTTGACTAGCAACTGCTGTGCTGGAGCCTGCCATGCTTTGATTAGCTGCTCCACACTCTTTTTTTTTCCCCCTGTCCACACGCTATCTTTCCCATGCCCAGCCACAGCTTTGGAACCTCGGCAGCAGTGGGGCATCATGCCAGGCTGCCTCCAGCAGCTGTGATCTTGCAGGGGAGCACACTTGGCCGACACAGTCCTGTCTGGTGGCTGCTCTTTGCTCAAGAAGTGCTTTCAAATGGCTGTTTGTCCTACTCAGGAATCCAGCCTTCTCTGATGTCCTCTGTGTTCCTGGCTGCAGGGGGCAGGAAGCCCCCTTCAGGGTGTGCAAGTCCAGTACACAGAGCCTGGACATAGGTGCAGCAAGGGGGGGGCGTGGGTGTACAGCTAGGTGCCTTTGCCCATCGGGCAGAGCAGGGAAGTGCCTCTGCAGTGCTCCTCTAGAGCAACAGTGCTCCTCTAGTGAACATTCTGAAAAGAAATGGGAGCAAGAGAAAGGTGCCATCACAAAAAAATGGGAACCACTGGGCTTGCAAGGAATTCTTTTACCAAACAGCCATTAATAAGACATCTACTGGAGACCGCATTTGCCTAACGAAAGGCACCCTTAGATTCTTTAAAATAGCCCGTACATATTTTTCCACTGACTTTAAAGTTAAGAGCAGCATAAAGAGCTCTTTCACAAGTCAAAGAGCATGAGGGCAGAACCTGAAGTTACTTATTTATTTATTTATTTATTTATTTATGGTACTCCATTTTATACCTGTTAATTAAGAAGCACCCAGATTCATTTCACATTTTTTCTTTCAATCTCTTTCTGAATGAATAACTTAGGAAAAGTAACATAATTTATGAAATGAACATACACGTAATTTATGAAAATCATGGCATCTGGACTTTCAGTCTGAGCCAGTTATCAGGGATTTATTACCTCTTCCCAGGGCAGTGGATAATTCTTTCTAATGTAGTGAATGCTGGCTTTGAGAAATGGTGCCCAGTGCGTGTCTTCAGATACTTGATGGTATATTCCTGAAATGACAAAAGGCAACAGCATTTCATCATTGAATAAACTCTCATCCCCTCTATGTGTTTTTTAAAAATTTATTGGGATATGTAAAAGATATAATATCTGAGCAATTGTGTTTCCAGCAAAATATTCAAGAAAAATCATTTTCATATGTTTTATCAAAATAAATGCATAAGAATGAAAACCTAATCATCAATCATATGCTTATTTCTTGCAAGGTTTGCAATTGAAAAGGTTTTGTAAATGCCTGTAAAAATGCAGTATGTACTATTACCTTCCTTCTTATGCACCTATGATACTTTCTATGTATTAGTCTTTATTTTTATTCTTTTATGATTTGTGTATATCACTTTGAAATACTGCAAATGAGAAGGCTCTTGGGATTGTCATAAATCACAGGCTGAGCATGAGTCAACAATGTGATGTGGCTGCAAAAAAAGCTGATGATATTTTGGGCTGCATTAATAGACAGATAGCTTCCAAATCATGGGAGGTACTGATTCCCTTCTATGCAGCAGTAGCTAGGCCCCATCCTGTTTCTGGTTCTGGGCACCACACTTCAAGAAAGATGCAGACAAGCTGGAAAGGGTTCAGAGAAGGGCAACAAAGATGATCAGGGGAGTGCAAGCAAAGCCCTGTAAGGAGAGATTGAGCATGTTAAGCCTTGAGGAGACTTGGGGGAGAAATGATAGCACTTTTCAAATACTTGACAGGCTGTCACACCGAGGAGGGCCAGCATCTCTTCTCAATCTTCTCAGCATGTAGGACATGGAATAATGGGCTTAAGTTACAGGAAGCCAGATTCCAGTAGAGGCCCAATCAATTAGGGTGTTCAAGGAAAGACTGGACAACAGTATGTTGGGTATTACATGAGTGGAGCTGGCTGGAGCTGCGGGCGAGACTAGATGGCCCAGGAAGCCCTTCTGACCCACCATGTTTCTAGACATCAGGAAAAATTTCCTGACTGTTAGAGCAGTATGGCAATGGCAATTTCTCCAAAATTGAATTTGGTCCTCAGGCTGAAAGATGTTCTGGACTAATGATCTTTATAGTTGTCATGTTTTTAGCTGCTTGTTTCCCATGTAGTTTTCCTAGGCAATTATATCTTGCTTGACCCACCACTGATATTATTACAGTTTATCCCCAGGAACTTCCACCCAATTAGCATAAATGCAGTAAGAAATGCAGCTTCTCAATAGCAATGCTGATAATATATGTATATATTATTTTAAGTTATTTTGTTCAAGTTTTTAATATTATGTTCTGTAATTTTTTTAAATCACCCTGAGTGCTTTGACTATTGCGCAGCATAAAAATAAAAACCATAAAATGAATTTTATGGACAGACAGTCAGACAGACAGGGCGTGTGTGCATATGTCTGTGAGTGAGAATAACATTTATTCTTTCATTTCTTACCATTCCTGCAGATACCAGAATAAAAGGCATCAGGATAAAGGTTTCCAGCCTGAAATGCATCTTGGTGGGTAAGTAATAACTAGGCAGGAGGAGGAGGAAGAAACAGGAACCAAAACATTAAAAGGAGAATATTATTCCCAGTATTTAAGACATGGCCAAAGGATAGCACTATTTGCTCAGCACAGGTATGCTGATTCAAGTCAAAGTCAAACGCCAGGAGAGCAGAACCTCAGCCAGAGGTCCAAATCCAGCATCCAGAGCACTGATCTGCCCTTCAGGGCTGTCCAGAGGGCTCTGCCCTCAGACTCTAAAAGCTTTAAACTAAAGTATGCTGGCATGCCTGATGGCTTTGCATTCAGCAATGGCCATCCCTGGGAGTCACCCCAAGAGCTTTTCAGGAATGGAATTCAGTCCTTGGGCTGAAAGACCAGGGGTCATGTTCTGCTGTACATGACCCCTGGGCATGCTGGACGTGAATCATCTCATGCAATTTCACCAAAATAGCATTTGAAGAACAGTTCCTCTGAAATGTCACCTCAAGGCAATTTTGTGTTGCCTTGGTTGATACTCACCACTACCTCTGCCCTGCAGGAATATATATTTTATTGGTGTTAAAATAAATTTATGCTGGACTAACTCATAACATGTGGCAATGAATTCTGTGCTTAGGGCCTAAATTTTTACCAAGCATGAATTCAGCAGTCTAGTAGCAAACCTCAGCTTTTCCTTCTATAGAATCTGTCCAGCTGGACTCTCAGCACAGCTTTGTTTAGAGCAGAAGCAGGGTGTCAAATTTGATTAGCCCTGAGTACCATCCTTTGAGTGGAGACAACACCAAATGTCTTGTTCAGTATCTAATTTAGCATATGCCAACTAATGATAATTTTCGTTCTGAATAAAGGACGGAGCAAGTCCCTGGTCCCTGGGAGAGCACACTCGTAACTGTGGCTATCAAATTCAAAGGCTTCTCTCCTGATAGCATTTCACAGCCCTGGGCCACAATTCATCACAATCGCTCCATGCTTTAAACCTCTATAAACAGAATGCCCAACTTCCTTGGGGTAACAGACACAACTCTGGTAATTCCTTTAAATAAGTGTATTGAAGATAATCGTAACTGGCTTGTAAATAATTAGAAAGGATAAATTCATTGTGTCATTTATTTACATGAGCCACATACTAACAAAAATACATCAAAGTAGCTGAGAGTCCCTTAGGCTGCAGAGAGATCAATTCAGTCAGTCTTAGAGGAGACCAACCCTGACTGCCCTTTAAAAGGCCAGATACTGAAGATGAAACTCAAATACTTTGGCCACCTAATGAGAAGGAGGGACTTACTGGAGAAGACCCTAATGTTGGGAATGATTGGCGGCAAAAGAAGGAGGAGACAGCAGGGGATGAGGTGGCTAGATGGAGTCACTGGGGGAGTGCGTGTGGGCTTGGGTGGACTCCAAGGGATGGTGGAGGACAAGAGAGCCTGGAGGAATGTTGTCCATGGGGTTGTGATGGGTCAGACATGACTTTGCAACTAAACAACAAAGCTATAAAGCCTATACCAGATAGAAGATACAGAAAGGGAAACGTATCTAAGAGGCAGCCTCCTACCTTACGATAGTCAACATTTTCTTCTTGTACCGTGAAAAATTCTAAAGCTCTGTGAGCTGGAAAAATAACATCAAAGTAAGTTAGGAGACTGTCATAGCAATAGATAAGCAACTTGATGGAAAGATCAGCAATGTGGAATATAGCATGGATCTATATCAAATTTTTAAAAAATCTAAAATATTCAGGCATAATCATTACACATTTGCTTAGGCATAACTCCTTCTACAGCCCATTATATGTCTGATATAGCCTAGTTCAGCATCCCCAAAGTGGTGTCCCCCAGATATTTTAGACTATAACTCCCATCAGGCTGTGCCAGTATGCCTGGTAGAAATGTTCCAGAGTTTCTCAACCTAATCTAAAGATAAAAAATGAATCTGATATATTCGGCAGGCAGAAGTATATTCCACTGCTGAGTGATTATTATCAGTTTTGTTTTGTCTGTCAGCTTGCTCTTTCTCCCTCATTGCAGCAGGTTCCACACTCTTGCAAGCGCCCAAGAGCGTATAATTCCTGAACCCAAATCCTAACTAGTAGCTGAACCTTAACCCTACTCTCCCCTTATATACTCATACATTCCAAATTTTTCAGAAATTGTAGCAGAGTTGTTTTTTTCCCCTCAGCAGCTCACTTTTTCTCCTTCCTCTCAGTGAATTCCAGACCCTTAAACATGCGGAGGGAATGATAGGTTCCATACTCAAACCCTAACTGAACATCATCATAACGTTGCCATAACGTTGCCATATAGATTTGGAAATTTTTAGCAAAGGTAGCACACTCAGGTTTTTTCTTGCCAGCTCACTTTATCTCCCGTGCCTCAGCAGGTTTCAGACAGATGTGTATAGGAACTGACAGTTTCCTAACCCTAAGTTAAAGCTGAACTATAACATACTGATTCCATATACTCCCATACATTCCAAAAGTTTTAGGAAAGGGAAGATATTCAGGTTTTTTCTTGTCAGCTCATTTTCTCAGCCTCACCTCACCATGTTGCAGTCCATTAGACATGTGCAGAGAATGACAGTTTCCTAACCCTAACCCTAAATAAATCCAAAATGGACTCAAATGAATTGGGATTTCTATTAATCTGAGATACAGCTTCTGCTGCAGGGTATGTTTTTTCCCATTCACACAGATCTGCAGACTGTATTTTACTCTTTGGTAAAATCTGTGCAAATTGTCACATGTACTAATGCACATTAGCATTAATTTACATTTGCACTAATGAACACTTGAGCAAGTTAGCATCCGTGCAGGTATGAATTAAAGCCAACTGTGTAAGTAGACTGAAATTCTAAAAATGTGATTCTGTCTGAGTGGTCAACAGAATGAAATATGTCTGACAATCTGTAAAGCATAGATGCAATGGAATGAACAAAATCCATACATCCCTATCCAATGCATATATTTGATTAATCTTGATGGTATAAGGTACCAGAAATATATCAGCTCTTTCTCAGAGTCAAGCCAGCTGTGCAAATCTGGATGCAACATCATGATTTCAGTTCCTGATAGCAGTATGTATACCTATTTGCCTTTCTCATTTGTTCTGATAGGTATTAATAGGTATTAATGCAAGATCCAACTACATAGTCAATTCATAGTAGTTACTCACTAGCCCTTAAAGATTATTAGTTGTACAAAACTAGGTATTTCTTTAATGGACCACAAATTCTTGACAATCTATATAAAACATACCTAACTTAAAAGAACCAATAGAAAAATGTTGTCTCAATGGAAAGAACAAGTTGATCATCATTTTACTTGCTTTGCATTACATCCTAAATAATGCAATATTTTGCTCTTCCCATAACCGAATGTAACTGAGACCAGTGCACCCTGTAATTTCCCTAATTACATAAAGTGGCTGTTAGTGATAATAAATCCGGACTGAAGAGCAATACAAACTCCTGTTGGATAGAATAGATTGCTCCCGAAATGGGATAAATCCATTTCCCTGTGTTTTCTTTCTCCACAGTACAAGGTAATCCATTGTAAAAATACACAAACTTATCTTTGCTCACGAATAAGGTTGTGAAATATATCATTGCCTAATGCATCCAGATTGCTGTCATTGTGGTTATGTTTTGTCAAGTCATCTCCCCACGACCCAATGAATGAAAGCCCTCCAAGATGTCCTACCCATGACATCCCTGCTTAGCTGTTCTAAATTAAAGGCTGTGGCTTCATGGAGTCAATGCATCTCTTGTTCGATCTTCCTTTTCTTCATCTGCAGTTCACCAGCCTGTTTGCCTTCTCTAGGGAGTCTTGCCTTCCCATAATGTGTCCAAAGTATGACAACCTCAGTTTTGTCATGTTTGCTTCTAGTGAAAGTACTGGCTTAATTTGATCTAAGACCAACTAGTTTGTCTTTGTTGGTTCATAGTATTCACAAGGCTCTCCTCCAGCACCATCTTTCGAATGCATCAATTTTCTTCCTGTCAGCTTTTTTTCACTATCCATCTTTCACACTGATAGATCATGCCTGCGAACACAATGGGGCAAATGATCTTGGCCTTGGTGTCTTGTGAATCATCCCTACATGATCTTTTCTAGTTCTTTTGTTGCTGCCTTTCCAGATCTCACTCTTCTTAGAATTCCTTGGCTTCAGTCCCCCTTTGTATTGATGACTGAGCCATGGCATACAAACTCTTTGTAATTCTGTAATTTTGTAGTTCTGTAATTCTTCAGTTGCCATTTTTGTTTTCTTCATGTTCAGCATTTGCACTTTCTTCTTTCACTTCCATCAGGAGTTGCTTCAACACACTGCTGCTGACTGCAAGATGGTATAATCTGTGTATCTTAAATAACGGATGTGTCTTCCATTAAATTTCATTCCTTCCTTTGAGCCTAATCCAGCTTTCCTTATATGTTCTGTGTACAAATTGAATAGACAGGTAGATAAAACACAGCCTTGTTTGATGCCTTTGCCTCCTATAGGAAACCATTCTGTTTCTTCATATTCTGCCCCAATACTGGCTCCCCAATATTCTGCCCCAATACTCAGGCCAATCCAGAGCTGAATCATACCCATTTCATTTGAGACCATCCACAACTTAGTATGATCCACACAGTCAAAGGCTTTACTGTAGTTTGTAAAGTACAGACTAATATTCTTTTGGAATTCTTTGGGGTGCTCCAGTAGCCAACATATATTTGCAATATGATCTCAACTGCCTCTTCCTTCCTCACATACCTTTTGGTGTCCCCAAAACTTCTAGGCTGGCTGTGGACCTGGCTTCCCAATTCGACAGCTGGATCATAAAGACTAAGCAACACTGAATCTACTGCCTGCAGCTGAGAGGAGGAAGATGCTGGTACCTGGGTACTTTATATCTTTACCCAAAGAACTGATGACTATGTGTGAGTGAAACACATGCTACATAAAAATGGGTAAGAGTCCACAATCATATTCTATATTTTACATGTGAAAAGTTGTGTCACTGTACATCTTAAATAACAAACTCAAGTTCAAAAATTTCTTCTGTTTATCAATCAAAATGTATACTGCTATTTGAAATCATTTCATAATATTGGAGGAGTTTCAAGTTCAATTTTATTAATCTTATTTACTTCATTTTTATTCTACTTTTTCTGCATGGAACTGAAGGTGATATCCGCATTCCACCTGTTCAGGTAAGTTAGACTAAAAGATGGTGACTGGATTTGAACCCAGGTCTTCCTACTCCCAGTCCAGCATTCTATTCAAGACATCACACAGGTACTAACAGTGATACGTCTATGCAACCTGCAGCCTCAGAGCTGGGACTCTGAAGGTTGAATCCCCACCCCATCTCCTCTTACACAGCCTATAAATAGCTGCACCAGCTGCTTCTCTGAGGACACAACTGGGCCTCAGAGGGGTAATAAATGGGTACACTGGGACAGGGAAGAGATAAAGCTGGGGCCACTGACTTATGCCATTTCCTAGTGGCAACACAATCTCCTTCCCAACACTTTTCCAGTGCTTCCTCTGGATGGCTGGAAATGCCCACCTTGATAAAAGACACTGTGTGAAGAATAACAGCAGAAATGCCACACCTGCACCTGGGTCCATGCAATGGATGCATACAAGCCTCTGAGTTTGAAGAATTACATGAACCTGAAATGGAGGGCATTAGATTGCACCCTTAATGATTGCACACATGCTTATGCAAATTAGCAGAATCTTGTAAAATGAATTACAAGATGTGTACACTTTGCAACAGAACAGGCTCAGACCCTCAGAAAACATTGAACAACTCATGCATGTAGACACAAATCCAGAACAATGAAATGCAAGATAGATTTTAAATATGAACAACTGAATGCACAGTACATTATCTCGTTTATTAATGAAGCATGTCATTTTTTCAAAAATATAGCTTATTAAACTTCCTCTAGATACATCCAACCCTTGCTTTGCTATCAATTTAAAACGACACAGTAAAAACAGTATTTTATTCAGCCATTTGCTGTATATTCACTCCATTAAAGTTATACTTATTGCCTATCATTGCCTCAGTTTAAATGATCCACTGTGGTATTTTTCACAATATTTACATCATCATTATTATATCTTACCTATTTCAATGTGTGTTGACAGGCCACATGGTGTAGCTCTCTGGCAAGATGCACAAAATACAGCCAGAACAGAGAAAATCTTGAAAGCGTCCATGCTGCTACTATTCTAGGCTGCAAGGCATGGTTGCTCCAAATATTGTCGATAGGGCAACTGTGACCTTTGAAATGCGGGCTACGGTGTGTTGCTTATTCAAATATACCACTGGCACACGTGCTAAAACTCTCATGTTTGAAATGGCATGTTTTCCCATTTCTCTGCATCGGCTGATGAATTGTTTTGTTTTAGAGACAAGAATAAGCCCAGTTGAAACATAATACTTCATTTTTCATTGATTCCTGAGAAAGCATGCCTAGAACAGAGAAAGGATCTGTTATGGTGCATTCCTTCCTTCTTTCTCTCTCTGCATCACCCATTACCACCTGGGTACTTCCAAATGGAAAAGCCACAGCATTCCCAAACAAATTAAACTGTGCAGCTATTCTGGGCAAGGAAAAAGGGCTTGAAGAAGTGTATAAAAGTGCAGGGGGTTACAAATGGAAGATGATATCTGGATCCTTGAAAAATTCCATGTGTGAGGTAGGGCAAATTCACAATAAAAGACTTGTCTGGAAGTGTCTCTTGTTTACTATTGCAGTGATAAAAGTAAAAAGCTCAGATCAGTACTTATTAGCAAGACAACATGATCAAATAGCACTTAAAGGTCAAATCGGTCCCTCTTGACTTCAGCAGTGGAGGCTGGAAAAGATCAGGGGGAGGTCGCTACGAGGCAGGATCCTGGGGAACTTCTCAAAGCAGCACTTCTTTCCCTGATATCTATCATGGAGAGCAGGGTATATCCAAGCAAGACAAGGCAGCTGCTGATCATTGGAACCTGGAGCTAAGACTCCAAAGAATTACATGGACTCCTAGACCATGTTAGGAGGCCACAGGGATATGCCCTAAAACACATTTCCCCAGAGCCAAGAACCATCTATCCACAGCTTATCAGGATACAGCTTTAATTTATTGGCTTTTTTCCAGCCTATTACTGAATCCAAGCATGGCCTCAGCAGCCGCAACACCTCTCCTGCATCCATTGCCAGAGAGAGAGAGTACTGAGCATTATACCTCATTTCAAATCCTCAGATAAACCCACCCAGACCTTTTCTAGATGAGGTTGTTATTGCATGCCTGCAGTTGCTCACTCACAGTTGGTTATGGATTATCATCACTACCCAGATTCAGTTTAGCCTTTTAAAGTAAGCTTGCAGGGTTTTCTGGAGCAAGAAAACTGATGTTTTTTGTTTTGTTTTTTTTGTGAAAGCAAAACGAAGTACAAGTGCAATTATTCTCCAACGCCACACTGCCACCTGGAGGTTCTATAGTGGAAATGCAGAAAGATGAGGGGAAAATAATCCATGTAATTCTCAGATCTTTAATTTTGCAAAGAAAGCAGAAGCTGGAAGAGCAGATTAATCAGCTTCGTCCAAACAAGCTGTAGAGGCCTCATATAAATATTAAAGGGTGTGGAAGGTAGAATATATGCCACAGAGTCAGTGCTTTCTTTTTGGATAATGTAACATAGAATGAAAGGGGTCATGAAAGAAGCACCCATCCCACCTGCAAACTCCCTCAAAATCTCAGAATTCAATGACCTAGAAGGTCAGTGCAGGTGACTGAGAGGATGAGGTGGCTGCACTTGTCACGACTAGTCCTCTGTGCAATGTTACATCATCTAGAGAAGGTAGTGAGCCGACCAAGGCAACTGCTTGCGATTTTGCTCTAGGAACACCATGGCCCCAGTTCTATCTGCCACAGTGCAAGAGAGAACAGATAGGAATAGCAGAATAAATGGGAGAGTTCAGTGAAGAAAATACAGGGTATGGTCCCCAGGGACTTCCTGGCTAGTGACTCCCTTCCCCTGCTCTTTTCCAGTCTCTGCTACTGGGAAGAGACTGCAGAATAATCTTTAACAGCCTCTCCTCACCAGCAACAGCTGCTCAACAACTCTTCAAAATAAGAGAGGCAGCAATAAGGATGTTACTATGCAGTGCTGGTTTGACCCTGAAGCTGCCATTCCTAGTCAAGGGCACCCATGAAATTTCAGTACTGTGAACTACTGGAATCCATATAAATGAATGCAATAAATAAGTTGCAGCAACTAGACAAAACTATTACAACCACAGGTTTTGCACTGATTCGAGCCATTAGGCCCCTGCCACTGAAAAGTTGACCTCTCAGACAGGCTCCCTATAGCAGAGCTCAGTTCCTTTCACATGCCAAAGTGTTTTGGACACAGCGTGTTTTACTGGTTTTTCAGTGGGTGTACTGAAAAGGAGTACTACAGGGTTCTCCAACCAGGTGCCCTCCGGATGTGTGGGACCGCATCTTGCATAATGCCCAGGCAAAATGGCATGGCTGGGTTGGGAAGGCCACACTGCCAGATGGTGCCCTGAATACAACAGCTTTGCCTCCTTATACAAGCGCTGGGCTGACATATTAGAATGGGGTCTTCAAGGCATATTTGAGCTAAAGATGGGTCTGGGTCTGAAAAGGCTGAAGACTACAGGCCTTTACGGTCCTGGGTGTTGAGTAGTCACTGCACAGCACACTCTCTAACAGCCTTTCCCACTCCTGTGCCTTCCAAGTTTTGGACTACCCTGAAT